ACGGAGCCGCGAACTGCCCCGTTCCTGTATGCACAGCGACACCCCGTACAGCGAGTCAATTCTTTTATTCTTCTTCTTTAGGGCATGTATATTAGGGCGTCTTCTTGTCTATGATCTATGATCTACATGTTGCTTTGTGCGTGCATGATTTGCTAGTTGGGCTCAATTACTGGTGGTGGATGAGCATCTAAGCCGTGGTTATGGTAGGTAGGGGCACCTCGCTCCGCAGGCAACACTCCTCGCCCGTGCGCAGGTGTATTAAATGCGCAATTGCATGGGCACACCTACGTACACCACGTAGGATATATTATACGATTTATACGTGTATTCTAGCTACACAAGACTAACACGGCGTGTATGTTATGCTGCAGCAGGCGCCCCCTCAAAACAATACGTACAGCCTATGCCACGCTAAGATACCATCATGTCTGATGTGGTGTTGGTGGTTTTCTAATGTTGCACTCGCTCATGGGAAGCCTGCCTGCCCTGGATTTATGATGATGACTTTGTGCGTTATAATAATGCCTGATGTGATACATGAGTCAATGAGACACAGCAAGGTGTACGAGATTATATATACTCTCTCCACGGGAAGAGATGGAACCATTAATCAGATACGTAGGCCCGATCAGCATAAGTCGTAGTGTCTCATGCACGCACTGCCAGTATGTCGTGGATTTGGGGGCTATTGCGGATGCAGTGGGGAAGTGCAGGTTGAGGCCACCGCCAAGTAAGCTACGTAGCAGGTACACGACTGGCAAGGCTGTGGTCGCCGGGCCGGTCGGGAATATCCACATATATTATACAAGGGGGCGTTTTGCAGGCTGGCTTACAATGGATGGTGTTCCATTCTTGGGTAATTCCCACATGCATGTGTGGCGCGATGATTGCCTAAGATTTTGTGGGTGTGGGTGTTTTCTGAGGTGACATGAGCCCAGCCAGTCAGTAAAATGTTCTATTGTCTATGGATAGACACGGTCGTCGCATAATAGGTAGGACCAAAAGAAATAGAATATGTATATAGATTGATTGTATAGAATGGCCTAAAGATCGTGCCATGGTATAATAACAGATAGCCCTGAAAATAGATGGTCCAAATTGACGACCAAACGTTTTACAGGCAACTCTGCAGTGAGACCATTTGTGGAGTTGAGAAGTCATGCAGGCGGTCGTCCATCGAGTCAGGGTGCGGGAGGGCGGGCTGTTGAAAAGTGACCGATAATCATATAACAGTGTAGTGTTAATTCACTGGTTTTATTTCCAATAAATAGATCTCGGGAGGCTTCGGCGCTCTGCAGGTTGTGAGCCTCGACAACGCTGGGTGTTGCGCCGAAAGGTCACCGGTTTGATCTCCGCTGGCAATAGATTAGAGTATGGGAAGCTGAGATGAGGCATAAGCGGATGCCCTGGGCTGGAGAGTGTCCCCCATGAGATGTTTGAACATTCAAATACCGATGATGGTGACACCAGTGATAGGACCTCGGGGGTTTGGGCGCTTTGCTGTATTTAAAACGGACCTACGTACCACCCGTCAGCAGCTTTATTCGGCTACATGGTTGCCTGGAGTTTCCTGCTAGGGACTTATTCCGATCTGTGCGATTCGGTGCGCAAGATCTTTTTTTCTGATAAGGCATGATACAATATCGCATCTTGCTGATGCAATGCCATCAGCTCACGAGTTTTTCTGTGATCAGTAAGGTGGAAACGTGGAGCAGATGGTGTACGACGTAGTGGCCTTGGCGGCAGCACAGTACCGCAGGCTAACGGTGGTGGCATAGATGGATGACAGAGGCAGTTTCTTCATGAGGGTGGAACCTGTGGGTCAGGTCCTCCGCCGGCAGAAACCGAGCAGTATATCGGCCAGGCGATCTCTCATCTCTAAGAACGATATAATATCTTTGCTTCCCGGGTAGTAGTAGAAGGTAGTAGGAGGTATTACAGCGAGCCCCAGACCCCAAGGGAGTATCCCAGGGTGGTAGGGGGGCCATCGAGGGCCACGACAGACCGCGGTGCTCCCCCCCCCCGATGGAGTTCAGAAATGTTGGAGTCCCGGCACCCGGCGCTGTGGCTTGCAGGAGGCGACTTGTATGTGCTTGGTCGGTTCTGTCTGATACCATGGAGGAGCAGAAGCTGGGTGGTGGGTAACTCCCCCCCCGTGGTAATCTGTATCCTGACGTCGCTCGTGGGCAATGACTTGGGTCTCCCCGTACAAATGCGGAACAGGGAAGAATCTCCGGTTGCGTGGTGCTGTCGTGTTCGAGCTGTGGTACGGGGTTCGGATGGGAAAAGTACCTCTTAGGGTCATTCATGGCCTATACAGTGTGTGTTTGGGTGTGGACAGCAGCAGCGGTGATCCGGCCGGTGGTCCATTGTATTGTCATTCATAATCACCAAGAGTTAATGGATCGCTCATGAAAAGGAAGGTAACACAAACATCAGAACTGTGCGTGCCCCAGCCAACATGATCCATGCATTCAGTTCGGACTTCAACTCTGCGCTTCGCTCCGCTATAGCTGCTGCTATACGGTCATATATACAATATACACTCGTCATTGGCCCATGTTCACTGCTGCAGATGATGGCACAGGGGTCCACCGGGGGCGATACACACGGCTTGTAAACATGAACCGCTATCTGGACCCGTTACATCTTTCAACAAGGCCTTATGCAATAACCCCTTTGCGCTGTCAAGTTAGGGCATCAGTCACAACTCATGTGTTGTACTGGCACAACACGTGAAACCCATGACGAACACATCTGGGGCGGTTTTAGGGGTTTAGTGCGAGATCCCATGAAACCCTTTCTTAACTCCCCACACAAGTGTGCAGATACGTACGTACGTACATACATACATACATACATACATACATACATACATACATACATACATACATACATACACGCAGAGGGAACTAACCCCTCAGGCCGAACTCTTAAGTACAGTGCGATGTGCTGGGAGAGTGATGTCATGCGTGTTATCAGCGATGAAGCAGTGCTGCCAAAGCTCGCAATCAAAGTCTATATTTCCAAGGAGTGGCATGGTAGCCCACTGCCTATGCCTATACCTTGCTTGCTCGGTGTGAAACATCACACTTCAGTTAACGCTGGCGATGTCAGCAGAAGCCACACAACCTGGCACCGCAAGAGTGATGACGCAGTTTACACATTTCTTCCCCTTCTTCCTCCTCCTCCTCCTCCTCCTCATCATCATCATCATCATCATCATCATTACCGTCACGCTCATGATGCGCCAGCAGTACGTCAGTCATAATGTGCTGTACACTTGCAGCAGATGATCTTCGTCCCAAAACGACTGGGGCGCACCAGGAGGAGTTTAGCAGCCGTCAGTCAAGCGTGCACGGGCAGAGCGAGCTGAACACCAAGTGTCAAATACCCTATTCAGCTCCTCACAGTTAATCCTTCTACACGGTAGACACCAACCCCGGGAACAAGAAAGGCCCCCATACCTCCACCCAACCCCCAACAGCGTGTTGTCCGTCCGCACATTCACCACTATAGTCCTTCCACCAAGTAAACCGGTTTCTTGTTACATGCAACACAAAGTAAAAGATATAAGGGGTGCAAGGGTCCTCACCCTTGGAATCCCTGGAAAGTTATGAGAAGTAATGTAGCCGACCGCCGTAGTGACACCACCAGGTGTTCAGCCGTTGCCACTGCTAAAGTTCGCGGAATCATTTCGCAATAGTTGTAGCAGGGTTGAACAACACTTATGTTACTGCCGTGGTGTTCCTGTAAACCGCTGCAAAAGGGACCTCTCCTTCCGCAAAAGCCAAGAGCAGACGATTGTGTCGGAGCAAGTTGTGGTCGTCAAAGGTTTTGTATTATTTTCGCATAACCCCCTTTGGTTAAGGGTGCATGCATGCATGCATGTGCTTGTATATTGCCACGTATTTTGTGGAGTGATTTCTGATGTGATCGCGACAGAGAAGTAATTTCTATCGCCACCAGACCCAAATCATGCAGAGCAAACGCCAGACTGGGTACCCTTCCTTTCCCCTTAATCACATCACATCACCTTCGCCACCAAGAAATTTGGTCGTGTTGTAGAGTACATGAACTGTACTCTCTGTGCATACATATACATATGCACACATGGCCTCCGCTCCTTCCGCCAAACGGCATAGGTGGACCTCACCAACAAGGCGATAGGTCACCGAAAGATCCACATCTCATCAGTCGAGGTAACAAGACGAAAAGAACGCACGCAGCGCAGGAAGATGTGCGCATTTCTGATGGCCGCAAAGGTGGTTTTGGGGGTTTAGTGTCTGCGTTGACAATTGCCGCTCGCTCCATACACCTCATTTCATATCCGGTAAGCGTTTAGTACTTATGGAAGCGGCCTAAAGACGTAAAAGATCAGGAGGTAATTGCGTTGCAGTCCCACCCTTCATGTGGCGCGCGTGATGTCCAAATAGAAACGTTTAACTCGAATTAAAAAGCCAAATGGACAAACATCTTCGAGACGACACGAAACCCAAAACGTTTGTAGACTGCTGCACAGGTGACACGCACACACACACAAACGTATACATATACTACAGGCACGTACATGCGGAGGTTTCTCCAGTACCGTTATATGAGACACGTCGCTGCTTCAAACCCAGCGCGAACAACGGGAACAGGGGAAACCAAGCCGCATCATTTGCCAGGGAGGATGGCTCGTTTCGTCGCGTTGTGTATCGTACAGTGTCGCAATATTGTAAATGTACTCTTTGTTGTATTAAATCCCAAACACAACAAAAACATCCATGCTCTCGGCCCTCAGCTGCGTTCTGCCGCTCACCTTAAACCGGAATGTCTCGCCATGACCAGTTGTAGCCCCAAACTATTTCCCATGCGATAAGAGGGCAATCAACACAGGCACCCCAGCAGTATCGTTGTATAAGGTCAGCACGTCCACGCCCGCCCACACGCCTACACGCCAGTCCTGACGCTTGCCTGCCCTGTGTTGAGCCCCACCCAACCTCGCTGTCACGCTCTCACATCATTTGCATCATTCGCTCCATCAGCACCTTGCCGCGCGCCTCCACCGCCTCCATGGTCCAGGGAGGGCCCCCCAATAGTGCCGAAATGCACCTCCACGTGGACGCCCCCTCACCCAGTCTGAAGATCTCCCGCATCACCAACTGATCCTGCTCCTTAGTCCAGGAGGGGCCCGCCGCCGCTGGTGCTGCCGCCGCTGCCGGTTTCGGCGGCGCCGGCGGCTGCCGAGCCTGAACCTGCTCTTTTGGCTGAGCTGCTGACTTGCCCTCGCCATTTTTGACAACCCCGCCCGTCGCCACCGCCGCTGCCGCAGCGGCTGTGGCGGCGGCGCCAGAAGGTTTTACAGCGGCGATGACGGAGACGTGCCCGCCGGGAGATTCCGGCCGTGGAGATGGTGACTCCGGCAGCCCGCAATCTTCCCCCTCGGATGCCCCCTCGTCATCAGCCTCTTCCGCATCCCCGGCTCTATCCACCTCATGGTCGTCGTCTTCAGCTGCAGCCGAGCCGTACTTCCTACCGCCATCATTACCGCGGCCGTCCCCGTCTCCTTCCCGTCTATTTCTCTCATCATCACCATCATCATCCTCATCCTCCCTGAACGGCGACTGCTCGGCCTCCGCTGCCCGCAGCGGCACCACCTCTTCACCATCGTCCACGGGCCGCAATCGGCCCTGCGGCGTCGGCTGCAGCACAGACGGCGACGGCAACATTAGCGGATCGACCGCCGCCACTGGAACCCTCCGAGCCACCTTGCTGAAGCATGTGACGTGGCCGGGCGTGTCCGCAGCGGCACCGCTGCCGCCACCGCCAGCAGCGGCGCCGCCTGCCGTCTGCACACCCCGCCAATACGGCACCGCGGCACCGCCTCGCAAGCAGCTGCTGCCCTGCCGGTCCACTTCCACACCCGGGGCCGAGAAATCGGGGTGCCCGGGGTCATGGTCGTTGGACGCCCAGTGGGAAATGGAGGGCCCTAGCGTCCCTGTAGGTGCACCCACGACATGTCGACGGGCTTGCCACATGTCCCCCCGACCGACAGTCTTGGCAGCAGTCGCGACAAGCGCCGGCGGCAGCGGCGTCAGGGACAGCGGCGCGGCGACAGCCACAGCTGTGTGCATATCCGGGATCGCGAAAGCGCCTGCGGGTGCGACTATCGCCGGGGTATACTGCGCCGCTGCCGCCGCGGCCGCCGCTACGTCGGCGCCAGGCGACGGCTGCATGGGTGTAGGCATAGGCGTGGCGGCGGCGGCCGCTGTCGCGTCGGCAAGCCGCGGCATGTCAAAACCTGTGCCCGGTGTCGCACAGCGAGGCGTATCAGCGGGACTGAGGACGTTCCGGAAGAGGCTGCCGCCAGCACGGGCTTGACCGTGTGCCGGCGTCTGCAGAGCCAGCGGCAGGGGCGGCACCGCAGCAAGCTGCTGGACAGCGGCGATTTCAGAAGGCTGGGACTGGCTGCGGCTGTTGGAGCTGTCGTCAACGGTGTAAGCCGCAGCAGTGGCAACGGCGGCGGTAGCGGCAGTGACGTCGTCACCGTGGGGCACAGGTGGCGGCCGTGCTTTGCGGTCGGGGTAAGCAGGCAGCTGCAGGGGTTGCAGTGCAGCTATAGCTGCTGCTATACCTGGCGGCGCCGCTGCCGCTGCCGTCGCCAGTGCTGCAGACCGCAGCAGCTTCGGCGCCGCTGGCATCGTCGGACTAGCGATCGGCAACGGCTTTGCTACCGTATGCCCAAACAACCGTACAGTTTCGGACGGGAGGGCTCTCGAGTCCGGGAGCGGCGACTGACCGAGGGGCGACGGCACATTGCTGTGCCGGGGGAACGGCGGCGGCAATGGCGGCGGCAGCAGGCCACCACACGCTGTCGCCACTTCCCCGCCTGCGTGTTTCCCCGCAGTGGAGTAACGCGCACAGGCCGCATCCTGCTGCTGCTGCTGCTGCCGTTGGTCATGCTCCTGGGGGAGATGCCCGCAGGACGCCGGCGGTGGGGACATCAGCACGCCCGCTGCAGCCTCACTGTCCAGGGGGAGCTGCCGCACCTCCACCTCCGCCGTGGCCGGGCAGAAGACCCGGCCACTTGCAAGTGGTCGCGCCGCAGTTCCTACATCCACGGGCGGACTTGGCGGCAGCGGCGGCGGCGGCGGCGGCGCTAGCGGCTCCGTCGCCTCCAGTTCCAAAACCGCTGGCTCTGCATGGCGAGTCCCCGCTAAGACCGCCGCTGTTTTAGCCGCGATGGATCCGACAGCAGCTGCAGCTCCTGCTGCCAGTGCTTCAGACGATGGCGGAGGCGGCGGAGAGCCGGTGGCATCTAATTGTACGGGTGGGGAGTCCTTCCCGCCACCGCCAGAGATGTGCACCTCTTCCATAGCCACAGCAGCACCCGTTTCAACCGACGGCGGGCCGTCGTCCATATCATGGCCGTCGCGAATGTGAGCTTCTGCAGCAGCGTCAGCAGCACCAGCAGCGGCTGTATCACCGCGGCAGCTGGTCAGCTCCCGGCCTGGCTCCCGGCTCCGCTCTGGCTCCACCTCAGCAGTTGTCCTGGCTGCAGTCGTTACCGGCGGCGGCGCCGCCGGCGTGGCGTCAGCGTCCTTATCCCGCAGCCCAGCACTACCGGGTGGAAACATATGCAGGTGGAAAGCCGTCAGGGAATAGTCTGCCGAGAGGTAGGATGGTAGCGGCAGCGGCGCCGCCGCCGTTGCCGCGTTGGAGTTCGCGGCTGCGGGGCTGCATGCTGCCATGAAGCGCGACCAAGGATCCATGGGGGTACCATCGGCAGCAAGTGCCGACGCCGACGCGGCCAGCGGCCCGTTTGGCACCTCCCCCCGGCCGTCGCCGTCGCCTGCGGCTGTGGATCCCGCTACCACGCGCATCGCTGGGCCTCGGCTGGTGGTTCCGCAGGCGGAGGCAACTTGTAGGGCTTGCCACGGGTCCGTCGAGGCACTGAATAGCGGCAAGAATCCCAAGGATCCCAGCGTGCAGACACTAGGTGCGAAAGGCGTAAGCTGCAGCAGCTGGCTGTGCGGCGGGGAGGTGAAGCCCGCCGGCGGCGGCGCCGCTGCCACCGCTGCGCTGCCGGAGGCGGCAAGGGCGTTGGCCGCCACTGCCGCGGCCACCGCCGCTGGGCTAGGATGTTGGCTTGAGACCATGCCGGCTCCGGCGGCAGGCTGGAACAACGCCGTGGGACGGCTGGTGGGGGAGCAGACGTTCGCCGCCGCGGCTAGGCTCCGGCTGCTGATGCACGGCAACAGGGTGGCGAGATCTAAAGAGTCTCCCCCGAACAAAAGGGAGTGAAGGCTCAGACCCCCACAGGACACCTCGCTGACAGCATGCGCGCTGGACGGTGTGGTGAGCATGGGCACCGGCGGCTGCGGTGACGACGTCAGCGGCGCTACCGCCGCGAGCTGATGAACAGCCCCGTCTGTGGCGGCGGCGGTGGCAGCGTGGGCGTCCGGTAACGCACGGACTGGAGGAGGAGACGATGTAGCAGCGGCGGTTGCGTGAGCGATCGTGCCGTTCAGTGCAGCGGAGTGGGGCTTCCGAACGGAAGGGGCCGGTGCGGGGCAAGAACCGGCAGCTGCTGCGGCGGCTGCGGCCGCTGCGGCGGCTGAAGCCCTTGTGAGGCGCTGGGCGCCAGCAGTGCCCCTTCGTGCGGGTGCTTTCGGCGGCTTGGCCGCGGCCACCGGCACCATCGATGAACGCGGTCCCGCTGCGGCCGCCTCGGTTGCAGTACCAGCCATCGCGGCCTTTCCAGCCACATGACCTCCTGGGCCACTCGGGGGAACAGCGGCTGAAAGCTGACACTGCAGCTGTGGCGGCTTGGTAGGGCCGGAGGACACGCCAGCTGCAGCGCATGAGCCGTCCCACGGTGCCGTGCTAAGAACATTCAACACACCATCCTCGGAGGCCGTGACAATGGGGCTGTTGGTGTTAGTGCTAGCATTAGCGTTGGAGTCAACCACTGCTAAGGGCTCGCCGTGCGTAATGTACGGCCCGGCTTGGCGGGCCCTATCTTTGCTATCCCTGGTATCCTTGTCGGCTGGGGGCGGCTTCGAACCGGCACCGGAGCGGCTGCGCTTCAGGCCACTAAGCCTGGAAGCGGGCTGCACAGGACCAGGCCCCAACCCTGGCCCCTGACCTTGCCGCTGACCGCCATCTCGGCTGCTGCCAACGTCGTCCACTGCCGCTGCAGCCACCGGTGCAACGGTGGTCGGTGCCTCAACCACGGTATCCTCGATGAGCGTGGCAGCATCGGCGTCGGTGGCCGCGCCGCTGGAGCCCGTACAGCCGCTAGTCTGTCCCGGCCGTACACGTTTGGTGCTGGCGCCAGAGGTCGTCGCTGTCCCCCCGGAACGCCGCTTGCTGCCGCCGCTGCTACCTGTCCCTATTGAGTGCTGCTGCTGCTGCTGCTGCTCCGGTTGCCGCGATCCGCAATCGGGTGGCTGGGCGGCGAACCCTCTCGCGACCAAGGCTGCGGCGGCAGCAGCAGCCGTTGCGGCAGCGGCCCGGGTCCCAGGGGAGGAGGTGGGTTTCACGGGGCTGGCTGCGACACTGTTCGCCGCTGATCCCCAGGCACCCCGCATCTCGCCGCTTGCAGCCGCGACACCGCCTTCTTCTAGCCCTAGCCGCCGGGTCCGCTGCGCGCGCCCAGGCGTCTTGCCGCCACAACGCCCCCCCTCTTCCAAATCCAACCGAAGTCGTTTCCGCGCGCGGGCCAGTCCTTCTGCCGCCGCATCTGCTTCGTCATCATCCTCCCCCGTCGCCGTCGATACCTCATGCAAGCCCTGCCCCTCACCGCCGCGGCGCTGCCCAGCATCGCCGCCGCTGCCACCTCCTTCATCAGCGAACAGTGGGGGCCGCGGGCGGTAACCAGCCGTCGCGGCGCCAGCCCTAGCCCCGCGGCCTTCCCGGTGGTCGTTCTGCGCGGTGCCTTCAAACGGGCTTGGAGCTGTGTCCAGTGTCGCCACCGCATCTCGCCTGGCGGCGTCCTCTGCCGCAAAGAAAGCCGCGCAGATGCGGCTGCGCCGCTTCGCCTTCGGATCCGACGACGGTGTCACGTCCACGCCGCCGCGCAACGCCGCAAGCCGCTGCACCGGTGGCGGCATTGCCGCCGCTGGTCCACCATGGCCCCATACCCGGATGGGCACCGGCGGGCCGCCCGCAACAAACGGACTGACAGGGCTACTAGGGCTAAAGGGAACCTGCTGCTGCTGCTGCTTCGGGGGCGGCGGTGGCGGCAGCCGCAGCTGCGGCTGCGGCTGCGGCGGCACCGCACCGGCAGTGCCGTCCTGCTGGCGACACCGGGAAGGAAGGAAATCCTCCCTAGGAGTTCCTAGGCCTCTGTCCTCTACGTCGTGTTCGCCAGCGCCCGCACCAGCGTTAACGACCCCGTCAGCGTCCACATCACCGGTCGTCTTTGTCCGTGGCTCCTCCGGCATGCCGCGGGCTACCTGCCCGCCCCCACCGCTACCCTGCTGCATGTGGCTGTGATACTTGTGCTTGGAATAGTCATGGTTGTGGTTATTAAGGTGGCGGTATTGGTCGTGTGAGCGAAGATTACCGCCGTTGCCGCCGTCACTGGTGACGGGTCTTTGCGGGCCTGCCACTGCACTTCTCGTGGGCGTGCTGTCGCCCTCAGCGTCACCTTGCAGCAGCGCCGACACGCCGAGGCCGCTGCCCAGCAGTAATGACACGGTATGGCCGCGGGAAAAGCAGGCGGACTGGAACCCGCCCGGGGGCGAAACACATGTGGCTGGCGTGGCAGCACCGGACTTGGGCCCACCATAGCTTAGGAGCTCTGAGATACCGCCAATCGTGAAGTTCTCGGAGAGGCTCGGCAGCTCGTGGTGTTGCTGGTGTTGCTGGTGCTGATGTTGGTGTTGTTGGTGGGTGTGCGGAACAGCGTCATGGTGACGATGGTGATGGTCGCGGTGCAGGGAGGCGGGGTTTAGCGCGTGCGTCCTTGGGGAGGCCTCGGAACGTTGATGCTGGTCCTGATCCTGCTGACTGCCTGGATGCTGCGGGTTCCTCTGAAGGTTTGGAAGCTGGTGCTCTTCAGTGTGCCGGCTTGGGGGTGGAATTTGCGGTGTTGTGAAATCCAGTGGCGGGTGTATTCCCAAGTCCCTCGGCACAGCAGGCAGGCGGGGGTCCGTCGGCCCGCACCCATGCGCCGCGTCGTCCGCTGCCGCTGACCCTGCGGCACCCACGCTTGCTGCCGGCGCACCACCTGCGACAGTCATCGTGTAGCGCGACAGCGGGTCGCCCGCCAGCCCGCTGTATACCGCCTGTGGCCACGGTGCCGGCATCGCCGCCCCCGGCGGCACACCTTCCGGTACTCTGACCCCGAGGTCAGCGGCACCGCCCAATCTTGGCGCCGCAGCCGCTGGTGGCGGCGGCCGCGCCATGCCAGTTTGGCCAGCGGGGAGCAGCGCAGCGGTGCAGTCGCCGCTGTTCCCTTGAACCGTGGGACCTGGCGGCGATTGGGGTGACGGTGGCGTCCAGTTCATTGCCTCATCTGGCTCTCCGTCGTGCTGATGCTCAGGCCAGCAGGTCGGCACATTCATCGGCGCCGGGCGAACCTCGCTACCGCCCGCCGGCGGCACGCCGGCGAACATCACCGTAGCTTCTTGATGCCGCACGCCGTACATACCGGCATCACTGCCGCCGCCAACAACAACAACTCCATCGGCGGCAGTGGCCATGCCGGACGGCCGCCCGTCTGCGGCCACGGGTTGCGGTACTGATGGAGGTCCTGTCGCTGCGGGGTTTGCCGTCGCAGTGGATGTGCCTAGAACGCTGGTGGCTGCGGTGACCAGCTGGGTCGTGGACGCTTGGCCCAGCGTTAGCAGCAACGAGAGGTTTTGCGGTGCTACGACAGCCTGCGCGGCCAACGGCACGGGCAGCGTCACACCGCCGGATGCAGCCGCCAGGGGCACAAGTTGGGGTGCGGTCAGGGGGACCTGTGCGCAGGCAGGCGAAGAGGGGAACAGGGAACATGCCACGGCATCATCTCGTGCATTTCCCTCCGCAGCCATTTCGCCATTCGAAAGGGTTCTGGGTATCGCCTTCTTAGCCATTCTTAGCCGTGAAATGCCGAGAACATCACCAATGTCGGTCAGGACCGACCTCGGGTGGCGGGGGGAGGGGGAATGTATCACATGGGAAGATGTCAAGGCAAAGCAGGCGGCGGCACGGCCCCTGGAAAGGTGCCCTGGAAAGGGCTGCACACAGGACGAGAGCTAAGGCGCACGACCTCACTGCAGAAGCAGCAGCGGCCAGGCAACAAAAGTAATCATATACGCAAACCGCGGGTGGCGTGCCTTTTCATACTTAGCTCCTTCAGCCGATATCAGAGCCAACGAGCAACATGAACAGAGCAACATGAACAGCAAAACAGGCCATCGACGGCGAAAAACAGTTGCCACCGTGCAAGCGCACGCTACCAACTGTTTCAATGTAACCCCCAAACAGTTACCAAAACCCGACGGTAAAGCTCAACCAAGTTAACCGCCTTGCTTGCATCTTCGGGGATATGATAGTCCGGCTTGCCCCGTGAGCCTACCCACCTGTTGCTGGGGCACCAATGCTCCCAAAGCGGTGGCCTGGTTCGCAGCCCTGCTGGCCTGTAGCAGCTGCGCCGCCATCGCCAGCAGCGACGGCATCCCCGTGTCCCAACCACCGTTACCATCACCGCCAGCTCCTACGGTGCCAGACTGCCCGCTTAGTAGCCCTCCAAGGCCACCCAAGTCGCCATTCGTCGCTGCGGCAGCGATGCCAGCAGCTGATGCCGTCACTCCTGTTGCCGGAGCCCCGACTGCCAAACCGGAAGGACTGGCTGCTTGCTGCGCAGCAAGTTGAAGAGCTGCGATGGCGGCCGGGGCGGTGGAAGGTTGCTGTAGCTGCGCGGCCAGCAGCCGTGCCGCAGCCGCCGCCGGCCCCGTGACACCCCCAGGCTTTTGTAACTGGGACATCAGCTGTAACGCCACGGCAAGCGGCACCTGCGGCGGTGCCGGCTGCGGCAGCGGCTTCCGTGCCGGCGCCGGATTTTGCGGCCGCAGGCGCTGATGGGCCTGCATTATGTGCGCCGCCGCCACGGCGGGTGGTAGGCCTACAATGCGGGCGGCCTGCACCATGGCCGCCAATTCTGGAGCCATGGGTGGCGCTGTCGTAATGGGCGGCGCGCCGAGCGCCGCGGCGACGGCTGCGGCAGCTGCCGCAGCCGTGTTGGCTCCGGCACCACTCAAGCCCGTGGCTGGCAGTGTTGCAGCTGCAGGCTGCAACGTGGGCTTCGGCGCTGCCGGGACGGCTGTCCCTGCCATCTGCCCCCCTCCCACGCCCGCAACCACCGCCGCGACAGCGTCACTTCCTAAAGCCGGTGCGTTGGGCACTTTCGGGTGTGCTGTCGGTGCCGTAGTTTTGGACTTGCGCGCAGCCGCCGCGGCTGCCGCGGCCGCGGCGGCAGCCGGCACGGGTGCGCAAACCAGCCCTACTGCTCGCGCCTGCAGCGCGTCTGCCCGACCCTCCTCCAACATTTCTTCCGGCTTGTGTCTCCGCGCGTTGAGGTTCTTGTAGCGATTGCCGATCTGACTGGCACTACGGGTAATCAGCAAGTTCCTTGCAATCAGACGCCAGTTCGTGCCGTACCGAGTCATGCCGTACATCATAAGCTCGTCCTCCGCAGTCGTCCAATACGACAGTGGTACTGGGGGGCTAGGGTTGTACATCAGCGCAGTCACGAGGTGTCCCTGTGGCCGATAAGAACCGCCCAATGGTGTTCAGGTTTTGCATAGGTGGGCACGTAAGCGGCAGCGAGCCAGCCAGCCAATCCGGCTATGCGCTAAGGACAAAGCCTCAGAAACCTCGGACGCTTTAAAGCCAGAAAACGTAAATATGAAACGTCATGTCTATCCTGGCAGAGACGGGAGATGAACCGGTAAATTTTACCTGCAGGCAATTTAGCGCAGGCCGCGCCCATTCCAGTACGACGGACAGCGGATCGTCCATGCGACGTCGCCGGCTCTTGCGCTTGCTTTTGGCAATGACCTGAAGCTCGCGCTGCTGCTGCAAGGCGCTGTACTGCATCGCCGGCAATACATGCAGGATGTCCTACGCCCAAGCAACAAATGCGAGCAAAATGACTTGCAGCAGGTTGGCACGTGTCTTGCGGAATATGGATAGCTACTCACTCGCCAAGCTTACCGGGGATCGCCTGGCCTGGCCGACAAAGCCATGAGAACAGAACCTACACCTGGCCATGCATCCGCGCTACAGATTATCGGTGTCCCCTTCATTACGTCCAGTGTTTCTTTGGACGCCAAAACCATCCAAGTCCTTCTTGGGCTCCCTAGATACACCTACTCACCCACGCCACCTGAGCAAGTCAGCTTCGCATCCATCGGGCAACGCCTTGGCTCGCGTGTGAATCACTCGCAACCCCACCCATGCCTCACCTGCACCTGGGGAAACCTGCGCAACGGCACCACATCTAATACAGACCAGACGCCGCCGTCTGGACCCGGGCACCAAGCCGGTCGGAACGTGAGAATAGCGGTGCTCAGCGCGGCCGTCTTCGCGGCCGCCGCGGCCTTCTGCGCGTTCATAACACCCGCGCCCGCACTGCCTGCACCGCAGTCATTGTCCCATTCGTACGACGCCGCCGCCGCGCTGACCTCGTCCTGTGAGATTTCTGAGTGCCCCAGCAAGGATGTGGCCGCGACAGCGGCAGCCGTCGTGACTGGTGCTCCAGCTGCCGCTGAAGGCACTACGCCAACGGGCAGCTTTTGCTGCTGTTGCAGCAGCAGCACTTGGCTAGTCTGGCCGCAGCTGCGGCCGCCGCCACCTCCGCCCGAAGAGTCCGTCGCAGCGGCGGCGGCGGCGGCGGCAGCAGGGCCGCTACTGCTGCCACCCTCCGCGGTCACGGAGACTGTCGTCCTGTCGGCGAATGCGCCGCCGCTGAAAACCAGCCCAGTGGAAGCGACTGGCGCGGGGCCATCCGGCGGCGGGGGTTGCGGCGGTGGGCGCAGCAGGTCTTCAGGCGTGTAGGATGCGAGGCCCAGGGCCTTACGCGTGGTGATCTGCGTGTCCCGACAGAACATCAGCTGCTCCAACATGGCCTCAGCCTGCGTGTGGGGGCCAGTGGAGGCATCAGGCTAGAAAAAAAACGAAATCCCGGACGGTATACGGACCAGTTTGGCGGGGTACTTGATGAGGACGTCTATTGCTGAGGACAGCGCGCATGCCAACACTGCAATTGTCCCCACGACGCCCTGCCCTTCCCTGTCCTCCCGCGGCCTGTCCTGTTCTATAACAACTAGGATTTTTCATCGTAGTGGCCCGGGGAATGAGGCAGCTTCCGGGACCTGCTTGGAGATACGGAGACTCAAGGCCAAGACGAGTAGGGAAGCACAGGCGGGGAAATGTGTGACGGCTGCATTCGGACCGAATCCTCCAGACTCACACATGTCCCGTACCCCCTACCTTAGCCGCCAAGTCTTGCGCTTCGCTGTCTGCATCGCCAAAAAACAATGCATACGTCTGCACCAGCATCTGCGTGTGGCAGTGCACCTGCAGAAAGAATGGTGCGAAAGGATTTGCACGGACGGCACAAGCAGATGGGATATGGCGGAAAGAAGTTGAAATTTTGATGAACGAGAGTTTCAGACGGACGGCACACGACTTCGAATACCAGGTAAGCCGGAGGTCCCGAGATCCCCACTAGCAGACGCAATACCGTACAGCACCGGGCATTAGCAGGGAGAACGTTTCAGGCGGAGTCGGGTGAGCCACAACAATGAGCGAAACCCTTCAACATGGACACAAGGACGACAGTCCATTCCCCCTTATCGGACGCTTCTGCAATCCCGCGAACAAACGCACAAGACGCAATCTGGTCGCGGCAACGTCAACCTGACGAGGACAACCCAGCTTCGGTTAAGCTGAGGACTGCATAAATTGCACCACCACCATCACCACCAACAACAACAGCAACACCAACAACCGCGAAGGGGCGATACGTTGGAGCTGATGCCACTTTTTCACTCCCGCGAATCAGCATACCCTACACGACATGAAAAGCTACAGACAGAAGTGTACCTGCGCGTGCAGTATCGACAGCTGCTCTGCCGTCATTTCCGGAAGGCTCATTGGCTCCCCAATGTCACTCGTGGCGGCCGCAGCTTCGCCGCCTGCAAGGGCGACCGGCAGAGGCCGTATAAGGGCCGACAGACTCGGTGAGTTGCATTAGAGCTCTCTACCGTGATCGAACATTGCAGCGCCGCTTTCAAGGCGATTCAGTGCCGAAGTCTGTAGCGTGACAGCCCTCTGGGACGTGTGATACCCACAGCAACATGAGCGATCTTAGTGCAGTAACACACGGGTTACTGCTGGGGGACCGGCCAGTACGCCACCCATCCACCCATCCAAGCGCGTGGAAGTGTGCACACTTGCAAAGTGGGCCCCAGAACCCGGCAAAGAACCTGACCGTTTCGCGGCTCCGAACCTGGAACTAATGCAGGCTTGGAAAAGCCAGGCGTGCAACGCACAACCCACCAACGCAACCCCGGACAACCACCATTCCAAGGCTTTACACACAAAGCACACAAGCGCCAAATGCGGAGCTGCTGAGTGGACAGCGCGCACCTTTAGCATTTCCACGTCTGGATTTTGCGCGTGTCCGGCGTGCGGGGCTGTCCAGGGTGGTTGGGCCCCCAGGGCCACCCGCGCTACCGCCATCCTCACGATCCGGCGATTTCAGCAGCTTCAGCCAGGCCCGGTCGTCATCTTCGTCTTTGCTGGCTCCGTCAGGGTCAAGGTCAAGGTCCGCAGCAAAGTCTGGATCCTCGTCCGAGCTGTCCTCGGGCAGGGAGGCCGTGTCGTTAAACAGGGCCTGCGGGGGGAAGAGGGAATGCAATGCCAACACGCGAAAAGGATAGGAATCCAGCTGTCGATGTCCAAAGCGACTCGACTGGCCCCGAGTTCCGAGGATGGTAATCGAGATTAACCCGAGAAGGCCCCACGAACAGTGCAGTGAGGCGGGGCAGGCGCCGAATGCGGCAGCATATCCTTCCGGAGCTCATGAATGGCACTTCTTGCCCGCAAGCACACAATGCATACACGCACGCACGCAGGCAGGCAGGCAAACTGGCAGGACCGTCCCGGCGGAGACACACAAAAACACACGCTTACAGCGGGCCCGCACATGGGCTCGGGTAAGCAGACAGCGCTTACCTGCAAGAATTTGCCATACTCTTCGTCGTCCTCCGCCAGCTCAATCTCCTCCAGGTCTACGTGTTGCGGCAGCTGCTGTTCCAGCTCCGCGAGATCCACATCCCGCAAAGACATGTGCGCCCTGGTGCGGCGGCATATGCCGCCTGATGGCGGGCAGAGCTCCACCGGTTGGCTCCGCTCCTGGGCAGCGGCTTGGCCGTGACCCGGGCCCGGTGGCATACGGTCCTGGTGATCCTGCTGATGGTGGTTTACATGCACGCTGGTGCCTGCTGGTCCATGAGTGTTACCTTCCAAGGATGCCTGCTGGGTCGCGCAGAGATAAACAGGATGGAGCCGCCATGCCATCAGAGCGCAGGCAGTGTATGCGACAAACCATAAGTGGGTTCGCAAACACGCTTTGGCAACTCCAGGGAGAATTGACCTGGCACACTCAGGCGGCATGTAGGTACTAATCCCCTAAGGCCTAGATTGTGACTGCAGGGCGTAGGGCCGGACGTCCGCGATGGGCCCACACTCTTAAGCCGTGTTTTGCTCGCACTCCAGTCTCTCCCGGGCTCTCCTCAAAGCCCATTGAGTCCCGCATGCGCTGTAAACAAAAGGCGGCGCACGAGTGTCCAGGCAAGGGGCCCAGAAATGAGCATATCTTACCTGCCCGTTCAACGGACCCAGCTGTTGATGTGACGGCAAATCCTCTTGCTGCTGGTCCCCGGGAACAGAGCCGTTGTGATAACAATAAGGTGCCTCATGACCATTGTTGCTGTTGTTGTGCTGCTGTAATTGCTGTTGTTGCGGACCACCTGGATGCGGTGGCAAAGGCGTAAATATTCCAGCCGGACAGCCTGCCAGCAGCTGCGGGCCTCCACAATTAGTCTGCTGGCGAGGATGCCGCACCGGCGTAGATGCTACCGCGGCGCCCAGGGCCTCCCAAGCCGGCACGTCCCCAACGCTGGAAACTCCGTGTTGTACATGCTGTTGCAGTCCTTGCTGTGTAGAGGAAACCTGGGCCCCACGCCTAGGCTTCTGGGCCGTCCCATGTAGGAGCGTTGCGCCGCTACAGCCACCGTCGTCTGCGGCATCCCGCGCCCCTCCCGCGTCGTGCACAACTGTCTGCTCAGCACGGCGGCCGGCTGCCCCTCGTGCCAGCCGTCCCAGCTTCGGCGTGCTGTCCACGGCGTGTTCACCCATACCCTCTGCCGCCGGCTGCTGACATTTTTGCAAGTTGGCTGGTGCTGCGTCCGCGCCGGCCTCCTACATTTCACCATCCGCGAAGCAATGACGCGAAACGCCTTGACGAAACAGGCCAAACGCGTTATATTGCATCATATATGCCGTGCCAGGCATGTCGGCAGGCAGGCATACGAACGGTAGCAGTAAAAGTACCGCGGGTAATATCCGGTAGACAACAATTGCTACACTGCCTATGTAGATTCTATTAGGACATCGGATGCAGAATCATCTTTTTTTGAGCACCGCGGGAGTATGTGCACCAGTAGCTCCTACCTCGTCCTCATCCTCAGCGTCACTCTCCACGCACTCGCTGTCACTGAGCACTTCTTCTTCGAGGCTGCCTAACAAATCATCCGCGATGTCGAGCAGGTGCAAAGTGTCTGGGGCAAAGGGCACGTTGGGCCCCGTGGAGGGGAACCACGGATGGCCGGCACGGAGGCACATTAACGACGTGGACATGCACAGAAATGCACATGATACGCCAAACTGGCTGTGGACGCATGCCCGCAGAGGGATGCACACGATTGAAATAGGGGCGCCAGCAGCAGGTGAACCAAATTATGCTAAACATAAGAGAGTTAATGACACAGGGGGCAACCCGCGCACGGAGCACCGGGGCCCCCGACCAAGCGTAACCAACCCTTCCACAACTGTATGCGTATACCCATCAAAGAAAGTTTGACCGGAGCCCTTCTTGGCTACTCTTCGGCTTTCACTGAAACGGGATGTGACAAGACGCGCGTCTGCCCGCTGCTGCCCACCCCTCGGACGTAAGGGCAGGAGATCAGCAAACGGCACCTGGTTCCTGTGCACTTTGACCGGCAGAGGAAGCAACAGTGCGAATCCTCTCGTGACTTTTCGCGGAGAGTAGCCCAAAGTTGGCCGCCATACCTTCCTCCTGCGGAAGTGCTTCCTGCTCATAGCCCTCATCTGATTCGGTGTCATCGGTTTCTGAGTCGCTGTCAACCTGATACTCGTCGTCGTCATCGTCACCGTCAACGTCCAGCGGGAGTAAGGACGTCGCCAGGGGCTCTAGCTCCTGGTGCTCCATAACTGGAGCTTAAATGTAGATTCATGTGCTATGTTGGTACACCACGAAGTCGCAAACATACACAAAGCGACCAGGGAAGCACTTTTGTGAAAGGACGACACATAGCTGGATGTATGCCGGTTGCTTGCAAATTGTAACGTAAACTCAGTTTACTGTGCTGGGCTGGTTTGGGTTGCTTTGGGATTTCCCATGCAGCAGTATTTGCAAGTTCCTATGTTCAAAAGGCCGACAGATACCTACTGCAACATGGAAGTCCCCAGACATTTACCACGCATCAACACTTCATATCATTACTATATTTTTTGCCTGCTTAACCACCGCAACCAGGGCAACCTGTGTTGTGGGCTGTCGTTTAGCATCTACGAATGCATAGCCGCCTTTGCGTCTAAGGTAGTAAGGGATGCCTGTACCCTGTAATAGGAGAAACAATAAGGGTCAAAAGCTCAAGGGCCGCTGGAACGTTCTGTTTGCCTCGAACTCGTGCATGGGATGCCCTGCACCCTCTCCTCAGAGAGGATGCACGCATGGAGCCTTCAGCTCTAATGGTACGAGGTGGTTTTAAGAGGGATCCGTTAAGCCGGTGTGTATACCCTACCGTCAAAGTCCGTAAGCGAGTCCAGTACCATAGTGACGGCACACATCTCAATCGCTTGTGCCAATTACAAGCGCGCTTCGGTAACGGAACACGGTTATCTTCACTGACCCTCTGACGGTAACCTGCCCTGCGCACTATACACCACTTGCTCAAGAGACTGGAATGGCAGCCACATGTCAAACTATATCAGCTCCAGTTGAATAGCGCATCACTGGAGCACTTGCATACTCAGATAAAAGTTAACGGCGCAGTGGCAATGTCCAATATCGTCCCTAAGCGCGCTGCACCGAGGTTTTGAGCAAAAGCACAAGGCATACCCGAAGCCTCCCAGCCTTGCAGCCAACGTGGCCGAAGCCTTCACAGCTTGATACGCCAGTTACAAGTTAAAAGCTCTGCAGAACTGCCGGGGGCCCCGTGGACGGTTGGCAATGCGGATGGCGCCACTTGAGTGCAAGGCACTGCCCAGGGACGTGCCCCCAAACTCTAGCACATGTTATCAGTACCACGCCACCCCCTCTACCTTACCATTACAGCCTCCACCACAACCCCGTCCCCAGCATTCGTCTACGCCGCAACAGCGTCCTCTGATTCGAAAATGGAGCGAGCCCGCAGCTCCAGCACCGGCCCGTGGGACCACTTTCCTACACCGCGCACCGTTCCATCAGCTGGCTGCTCGCAGCTCCAGCAAGCGCGGTGGTGCTGAGACAGAAGCGCTTCCTTCCCGCCGCTACGCCTGCCGCTGGCCTGCAACTCGCAGCCGTTTCACGCCCGCCCGGAACCACTGCACAAACAAGGCAGCCCCTGTCCCCACGCCCTGCCCTTTCTTCCCAGGCTTTCGCGTCCAGGACCGGATCTGCGGTTGTTTCCCTCACCCTCAACCGCAGCCAGCCGCCAGCGTCCGGCAGGTGACAGCCAGGCTCCGCAGATGGGCCCGACTGATGACTCCTTAACAGTCGCTCCGAACACCACAAGCGACTTGAGCACAGAAACGTTTATGCTGCTGCTGCCGCTGCCAAACCGCTGCCGCTGCTGTTGCGAAAGAGCCATGCAAACACTTACCATGTCCAACCATACTCTCGACCACCTCCCCATCTCCACCGGGAATCCCCTCGCGCTTTCCCGTACCTCCGAGTTTGCCGTCCGGTCAATCCAACGAATTAACCCTTTTTTCACTGCCCTTACGCAACCCAGGACATATGTTGAAATTCCCGCGTCCCCACCAGAACTCGGCCTGTTCATTTCCCAAGCCAGGATGCTGAGATGTAAACATTAAGCATGTATGACAAACACCAACCGAAGCGAGAATACATGCATTGTTTTCCTCCCAATAGCCACCAAACCATCCTGCGTCATGATGCCACCTGCCGCGCTCTACTTTTGCTAGCCGATGTCACAGGACCCCGCAAAGAAAGCCCTCGTCAGAGACCCACGCATATGCATTAACACCATCACGCGCCAACACGCTTTTGCCCCAGGATTACAGCAGCAAACCCAGCCGCCGAGGTTGCTGCAACACACGCACATACACACACACAATAACACTAACACACGCACAAACACAAACGACACACGGCGCACGCCAATGACACTGCTCCCAGAAGTAATAGCCACTCATCCTTGGCAATATATACTTATCTCCCACGTGTGACCGCCCGGCTGCTGCCCCCTACCCCTAAGAAACCCTGCACTCATCAAACCACACTCTCGCTTCCCTCCTCCAGGTCGCCCCCGGACTCTCCTCCCTCCCGTGTCCTGACCTCCCTTCCCCTCATCCAGCTGCTCCTAACCCCCTTTGTTTCCGCCCGCAGTCCCGCCAGCGGTCGGCACCACCAACGCCAGCAAGAACGGCTCCCCTGTGCTCCACTCGGCGCCCAGTGCTGCACATACCTGCAGTAATAGCACATGGTTGGCTTCGGACTCGCAAGTTTGAAAGCTTCACCATCACTGTCATCTGTTGCCTCCCAAAATTTGAAGCTACCTACTTATAAGGCAGTGCCTCACAAGCAATGAAGCCGAGGACAACGCAAGCTGGTAGGTCTTAACCGTAACGCACGCGGTACGCTGTGGTGCAAGGGGATGGTTCCCCCCCCACACACACACTGCGGTAAACAACCTCCGGTAGCAAAGGAAAGCACATAGCACAAATGTAAAGGGGCCCACGGAATCTTTTCAACTGCACTGGCACGAGTCTCAAGCGCTTACGTCGTAAGCCTGCGGGCAGTGCAGCATGTGGATGTGCAGTTTCTTTAAGTAGCGAAACCGTTTTCCTTGGCGCCCCTCCCTTCCGCCTACCTGCTCGCTGGGAGGCACCAAGTACAGGGTCCTAGGCGGGAGACCGGCAGCTGCCTCCAGCTTGATTACGCCTGCACGCAGCCATTTGCAGCATGCCAGCCATGTCGGGTCCCGTTCACGCGTACGTCAAGCTAATCAGGCCCCTAGGCCCCGGCCGTTTCAGGAGCAACCAGTCTTAATAGCCTGCAGCGACAAGCAGCATCATTCCTCTCCACGGCTCACCAACTTCCCTGGACTACACGCTAGGAGCGGCGTGCAGACCCCCATACCTACAGGCCGATCCTTGCGGCGGCAGCTGAGGTAACGCGCAGTGAGGTAACCGTGAGGTAACCGCAGTGCAGCGAAGTGCAACACGCAGTCCGCGCACAAGAGTTCCGTAGTAAATCCCTTGCACAACGCGCTACACATCGCCAGAAAGGCCTTGATAGGGACATAGAGGAACAAAAGAATAATCACGGATCTGGCATACATACATACATACATACCGGCACGGTTTTTGTCTGCAAGGTAGGACAGGAAATCGTTGAGCTTGTTCCGTTGCTCGGGTCCGCCCGAAGTGACGAGCCGGCGCAGGGCCCTGTTGACCAGAGGGGGTGTGGAATGGCGGTTATAGCTAAGGCAACAAAGCGCAAGGATTATCGATTCGATGCTCACGCGCACGTTGCTTGCTTGCGGCGGACGGGACCAGAATAAGCTTACAAAATGCTGTCTCAACATCGCAGCAGAGCAAGGGGTTAGAAGAAAGCTGCGTCATGTGAAAATCGTGAAAAGGGACGACAGCGGAACTGGGATGATTGCTGGCTAAGGATGGCTTGGACGCAAGCATAAGGGGCAATCACGTGTAATAGCACCATTCACAGTCATCGAGTTGCGTGGAAGGATCAGAGAACCCAGGAACACGCCTCTGTACACGCATTGGCTCACAATGCCCACAAGTCACAGCACCCCCTGTAAACGAGCCACACATGGCCCAAGTCAAATCGACCAGGTCTCCAGATACCCAAGGATGCCCGCGTGCTCTCCTGCACGCCACGTCTTCCCTGGCGTCCATATAGTCCCGCCCGTCAATATCCATGTATCAATCTCACCGGGCGTGCGGCGCGGTGTGGCTGTACAACGAATGTACAACGTACGACAAGTCGACGCGCAGCTTGACGTCCAGCGTGGCAGGCCATGTGACCGGCTCACGCTCGCCCGGGGTAGCACCGCCTGCACCGTGGAAGCATGGAGCACGAGTCAGGGTGGAGCCACACGCAATAGAAAATGCAGGGCGAGACAGGGTGTGGCGCGTTGCGAGATGTAAGGGCTAGGGGTGAAGCTTGGTGACCGGCAATGCCACATACATATCGTCCGCTTGCTTTTCGACGCTCAAAGTATTGATGCTACAAACGGGAAGGTCCAAAAATGCGAGGCCGCAAACCCTTTCCTCCAGGTGGGTGGAAAAGAGGAAAACAAGAAACACCAAATAGTTTGTACAAAGATCAAGGTTCTGTTCCATCCCCATGACAGCGGCAAGTGCCACCTCTCATCACAACAGAGGGTCCAGGAAAGCGCCGCCCAATACAAGAAAATGTCCGAGGAGAGAATAGGCTCCGCCGCACTGAGCTACCTCAAGATTTTGAGAACCTACGATGCCTTAGGTTCCCTTAATCCCAACACCCCCCTGAAACCTCTCTCACATCCATCGGTGACCTAATGTTAATCTTGGCGGCGAACTTTTGTGGAAAAAAGAAAAGACACAGGCGCGGCACTACAATTGCACGGAAATGTATATTCCACAGGGAAACCGACACAGCCCCAAACGCACTTGCAGCGCTTGCGCCTCCTGTTGTACATAGCAGTGTGCACATATGCATCCCGCTTTTGGCCAGGGCGCCCTGCCATGTCACCCCCCCCTGCGAGCCGCCAGAGGAAAGCTGCTGCTGCTGTTGCGGATGCGGATGCGGTTGCTGTTGTTGCGGTTGCTGCAACGGAGGCTGCTGCTGCTGCTGCTGTTGTTGTTGTAGCTGTTGCTGGTTTTGCGAAAGCGTGTGGACATGCGGGTTTAGATGCTGCTGGGACTGCGACACCCCAAGCTTGGAACCTGCTTGTTGCTGCAACTGTTGCTGAGGTTGACCATGTGGCGGTCCAGCACAGCCGCCGCTTACCCCGGCCGCCGCCGCCGCCACTGTACTGTCATGCGGCAACGGTGGTGAATTAGGCAGCGGCGGCCCCGTCCCTGACCCCGGCTCGAATCGCGGTACCTGTGCGTGGCTGCCGCCGGGTCTCTGCAAGCCCGGCGACGCCCCAAGATGGGCCCCCGCCATCCCATGGCTGTGTCCGTGGGAAAGGGCCGGCGGCCAGTCGCCGGGACGTAGTTGTTGCGGTTGCTGCGGTGGCGTCTGGTGGTGGCTGAGAGCATGCGGTTGCTGCTGGGGTTGTTGCGGGCTCGGGCCGCCCATGCCCAGTGCGTGCGGCTGATGCAGCGGCAGGGGTGTGGATGAGTGCCCGGGTAACCCCATAGACCCCTGCTGCTGCGAAGTATGCTGCTGAGGATGTAAAGGGGGCGGCCCCGGGTACGCCCTCGCGTTGTGGAGGTGGCCCAGTAGCGGGGACGTCTGGGCATGGGCCTGAGAGGAGGACAGGGTTTGGTGCGGCAGGGCACCGCCACCGCTGCTGCCGGAAGTGTGCGGGTGCGAGTGCGGGTGCAAGTGCTGCGGCTGAGGCTGCGCCGCGAACCCGGTCGGCCCTTGCTGCGGTGTCGCTAGGCTGTTGTGCGGTGTGTGCATCACGCCGCCACTGCCACCGCCGCCGCCGCCGCCGCTGAGAAGGCCCGCAACCAGCTGTTGATGCGCCAGGAGTATTGGCGCCGCCTGCCGCGCCACCGCTGCAACCGCTGGGTTCATGACGCCCGTCCCAAGCGGCCCCACCTGCAGATGCGCCGACTGCTGCGGCGTCGACGCCGTCTGCTGCTGCGCTGCTCCCTGCATGGCCGCCTGACCACTGTTCAGGAAACCAGCGCCACCGCTTGTCAGGCCTCCTGCGCCCTGACCCAACCCCATCCCGGTCGTTGCAGGTGTGGACCCGGTCGGTGCCGGAGGGGGAATCACCACAGGCGCCCAACGGTCCGCACCGCTGCGGCTGCCAGGAAAGGCACCGCGCGCGGCGGCTGCCGCCGCTGCCGCCGCAAGGTTCGCCGCTGCTACAGCCTGAGGCGTCATAGCCTGGCCCATCAAGCCTATTCCTGCCGATACCACCGCCGTAGGCTGTTGAGCCATGCCGTGGCCAGTAGCCGCCGTGACGTTGCCGTGCGCCGCAACCCCTAGTAGGGCCCCCATGCCCTGCGGCCCCGCTGCCGCCGCCGCCGCCAGCCCTGGACCGGACGGCCCCAAGCCGTACAGGCCGCCCCCGACGGGGCCGCTGACGACGGCGCCAGGCAGCGGCACGTTTGCGTGCCTCTGAGTTGGCGGAGCCCGCGGCGGCGGGCCGGAATCCAGCTGCAAAGGAGCGCGTGTGCGGACGCGTGGTGGTAGGGCGTCAATGGGCGATGAGAAAAGATGTCAGAAATTTGATTTGTAAAATAAAACCAGGTAAGGGTGAGGCACCTAAGCTTCGCTCTTCACCCATGATCGCGCCCTGTCTTGCTTCTCACCAATTTTCACGTCCATCCAACGTGTCAGAGGACGGGGCAGCCACAGTAAGCTGTGACAGAATCGTCGTAATTACTTTCACACGCACCAGCAGCCCAGCAGCAGCACTGTCACTATCAAGATCACCATCTACAACGTCAAACAGCACAATCCCCTAACTCAACAACGCTCCACCAGGCAACATACTCTGACCGCACCAAATAGAAGCCCTCCATACATAATACATTTTGTCCTCAATAATCCGTGTTTGAAACCCCTTACCTTCCATTCCACGCGGATGTGCTGAGGGCCCAGCCGCGCGCCGTGCAGCGCGCGTTTGGCCGCCTCCGCGCCCGCTTGCGATGCAAAATCCACGAAGGCGCAGTGGCTGCCACGCAGGATGCGGTGCCCCACCACGTCACCGCCGTGCTGGCGACACATCGAGAGCAGCTCCTCGTCACGAACACTCTCGTGAAGCTGGGCCATATGACGGTGCACAGAGAAGACGAGAACCAGCAAAGCATACATCATGACCAATTATATGACCAAAACAAAAGCAACAATAACAGCGTTGACGGTGCTATGATGCTGATGCTGACGGTGAAAGCAGGAGGCGAATGGGAGGTGAATGACCATGACAAAGCCTAGGAAGAACGTGTGGCGGGGTGGGAAAGGAAGCATGCGGTCCGGAAAGCATAGCGGCTGTTCAGGGGGATAGGACAGCAACCCCAACCCACCCAAGGCTGGGCTGAGCCTGGCAGACGAGAAGGCAGGAAGCGGCTAGAGGGACGTGTGACATCCCGGGAATCACTGGATCCTCACAAAATGAACAAGAACAAGGACGCCGAGCAATGCCTCCCGATTGACCTCTTCCCACACGAATGAACACATCCATCACGACAGAACCGCAAAAAAGCAGAGCAGAGCAGCGCCATGGAGCTCAGCAGACCGCGCTGCTTTTCCCCGCAATCAGGGAAGACCTTCCAAGCATCTCTTGGGCGGGTCATTGCACTCACCTGTCCAATCCAAATCGTTCTACAGTTTATAGGAGACAGCTCAGGCATGGGACCTGCGGCGCTGCCGCCCCCGCCGCCGCCAGGATGATGCATATGCAATGCTGTACCGTAGTGCCCACCCGGCCCCGATTGCGCCGATGACGACAGGCCCAGCGGCGCGCCTCCTGTCCCCGCCAGCATGGGAGGCGGCGGGGGCAACCCTGACGTGCTCACGCCGGCAGCGGACGGTGCTGCCGCAGACAAAGCGGAGGTAGCAGCTGGCGGCAGCGGTAGCGGCGGCGGCGTGAAGTGGGCCTGCAGGCACGCGGCGACCTGCGGCACGATGGCTGCGCTGGCCATGTGCAGCAGCATGCCCGGCGCCCGGCCAGCGACCTGCAATATCTGCTGCGGCACCGGAAGCGCCGCCGCCTGCAACGCCGCCACCACTGCCTCCGGCGTCACACCCGTGCCGGCCGACAGCGACACCCACACAAACTCGCTCGCGGTGGAGCTTGGGCCGCCGCCGGTGCTGCCGCCGCCGCCGCCAGCTGCTGCTGCCGCCGCGGCAGCGGCGGCGACGCACCGTCGCGCCGCTGGGCTGTCCGCCGGAAAGGCAGAGCAGAATTCCACCACCAGTGGCCGAGTGCCCCCGAAGCGGCACGTGCGAGTGACGGCCTCGTAGCAAATCGCCGCGTCACGCAGCGACACGAACACCACGTAGACCTCCTCGCCCAACGGCACCTGTGGGCCGCCCAAACCGCCGCCATGGGCTGGATGCTGCTGTAAGACTTGCTGCTGGTCAAAGGGGTGAACTGACTCCACGCTGCCCAAGCGACTCAGATCCGAAACCAGTGCAGCCTCCGTAAGGCCCGGCGGTAACCCGCCAATGTACAAGCACGCCTCCGCGCGACACACCGGACCGCCACGAAGACCTGAGGAGTCGCTACCTCTATAAGATAGGAGTGGCAGGGGCGGTGGGGGTGGCGGCGGTGGGGGCAGGGGTGGCGGCAGAGCAGATGCCGCCACTGCCCCTGTCCCAGGCGCCGCCGGCCCTGCCAATCCCGCGGCTGAGGATGCTTCATGTTGGGGGTGTTGATGTTGGTGCTGGTGGTAGGAATGTTGGGGGAGAGGCGGTGGCGGCGGCGCGGGCGTTGCGGCGGTGTCCGGCGGCCCCGCCAGCGCCACCGTGCCGCTGGCGGCACCTGCACCCACAGCCGCATTCACCGCTGTCGCGGCGCCGCTGCCCTCTGGGCGCACGGCAGTGCTTATGGAGTGGTCAAGGTCCATTGGCACAGATCTGCTGTTGTCGTCACTGCCAACCATGGACTGCGCTGCCACCGTCGTTGTGTTGGCGGCTCCGCCGTCAGGCTTACAAGCACCACCTTGACGGGCAGGCGTCACGTTACCGGAGCCGTCGCGGGGTGCCGCCGCTGCCGTCGCCCCTTGCGGAGATGCCCTGGGTGAGACCTTACCGGCTGCGGCAGGCGCAGCGGCGGCCGGTGCTGCCGTCGCTGTACAGTATAGCAGCAGCCGTTCAAGCTGAGCTTGTACAGAGGCGGGAAGCATATGTTGAGTCTTGCCTGCCGTATGATTGGGGGTTTCCATGGGGGTGAGAGGAGGGATGCGCCAACACACCACAGCGCAGCGCTAAAAGGTTACTAGGCTACATGGTTGGACGCATGCTTATGACCCGTACTTGGAAGCGCATCCAAGCAACACCACAGCTCAAGCAAAGCAAGAAAGCTGGTAGCTAGGGTAGCAGCAGGAGGAGAAAACAGAGGGAAGCAGCGGTATGCCATCCAACCCCTGTGTCCACCCACCTTGCGCCATAGCAGCTGCGAGCAGCCTTAGCCACGCCTGCGTCTCAGGCACGTGGGCAAGGACTTGAGCGGCGAGGCAACCCCCGTCATCAGCCTGGCCGCCGACGGCGCCGGGCTCGGGCCCCGATCCACCGCCGCTGCCATCACCAACCGAACTGCCGTCCTGCACGATGCCCAAGCAAAGGGACCGGGAAAATGCCAAACCATGGAACCAAATAATGAGGATTTGAATTAGAAGACCAGACCAGAGCCTAGGAAAAACAGAGCATGACAGCGCTACCGGCTAGCAGTAGTATTTTGCCGATTGCCGGCAAATTGCTGTGGGCTGTATACTCGCGACGGCTACGAGCTAACGGCCCATACACTCTTACTTCTTGTACACACACACACACACGAAAAAAATGGCAGGCATATCCCAGTGCCTAACAACTAGCAATTTAGTCTAGCTTTCATATCCTTTGTTCCCTTCTTCGTCAAGCGTGCCAGCTGCCCTGAGCCATCTCCGCAGAGTGGCTAGGTCCGTCAACCCGAGCAGGGAGGCCTAATGGATTATACCCTTCAAATTTCTTTCCCTCACCACGTTCCCATCACGGCCCCCACGGCTCGCTAGTCCAACGCCGCCACCGCCGTTGCCATCCATGCCGCCGCTATCTGCCAGCACGTTTCTCGCGGCCGTTGGCGGCACCATCACCGGCGGCTCCACCGCCGACAACACCGTGGTACCCGTGCGCAGCAGCAGCAGCTTGAGCATGAGCTCACATGCCTGACAGTCATCCGGCCCCCGCTGCTTTGGCGGCAGACGGAAAGGCTGGAAGCACGCCGCCAGAACCACGCGGGGAAACAGACAAAAGGCATTGAATAGAAGGCTCCGTATCACGCCTGCATCCGAGTCTGGTTCTGGGCTCGCGGCAAGATCAATCCTGGTGCCAGCTGCCGCAGACGGGCCGTTGCCGCTCCGCTCATCCGCCTCGTCCCCGCCACTGATCTTGACGGCAGTCCCCCCCGTGCCGTCCGCACCACTACTAATCTTGCCACACCCATCTGTACCCGCGTCGTTCCGCGCGCTGTGCTGCGGCAATGCCTGCGGCGGCGCTGGCGGTGGCTGTGGTGATGGTTGCGCAGACCGACCGTTGGCTTCCGCATTCGCTGCAGCCTCTGCGTTGCGGCGGTAACGGTGCTTCAGACCGTGGCCTTGCGATGCTGCGGAGGCCTCGTGATGGCCCTGTGGCGGCGCTGGCACCGGCTGTGGCTGCATCGGCTGCGGCTGTGCCGGCTGTGTTGACGGCTGTGTTGACGGCTGTGCTGACGGCTGAGCGCTACTTGTCGTCTTGGCAAGGGGCAGGCCATCTGAAGCACAGCCCCCACCGCTGGTACTGCATAGGCGATGCAGGTGCCTGGACAGCGGCCGGCAGGGACTACGTAAGATACACGCTGCAAGAAGTCTATGCTAGCGATTAAAATCCGCACCATAGCGAGTTCGCATGGACATGCACACAGAGAGAGGGTTGTACAGCACGAGGGCAGCCGGCGATCCGGGACAAGCAACGCATATGCATCCTCGTCTGCCAGCTCGCTGCCCCAGGGAATATGCGAGCTTGCGGCGTGTATGCAAATGTGGACATAGATAGATATACAGCACTGTCTAGCAGAAGATCACCAGGCAGTGGTTGCAGCTGGAGAGTAACACGCACAGCTGCGGGCCGCGACAGGAAGTTTAATAACGGAGTCGGGTACATAGCCAGCAAGGATAAATCACGGTGGACATCGGCGTAGCTACGGTGCCTCGCTATGTTCAATCTGTACCGCACCGGCGGGTTACTGGGCTTGCTCAGCGCAGGCCAAGAGAGGTGCATTGCTGCGTGCTGCGTCAAGCCGCAGGGCCCGACTGTGGCCAGGGCCGCGGCCAGAAATCTGAGCTCACGTTCTCTCCTCCATATCCTTACACATTACAGACCTAAGAAGGGTGCAGCGCAAAGCCTCACGTGTAGCTGCGGGAAACCGGACGGGACACATAGGGCCCCGGGCACGCCATTAGGGCCCCGCCATTAGCCATGTGAGGAGAAGCACGTGTAGCTGTGAGGACCTGGGCGAAGCCCGTAGTCCATGTTAGGTTGCTCCTCCTGGCAAGGGCCTAGCGGGCCCGATAGCTGGGCCTAGGCCCCACGCCCGCTTCCCTCGGGGCCTGGCTGGCATGGGATCCTCCCTTTCCGGAAGGCGAACGGCAGATCGAAAGACCTAAAAGGGACAGCGCTTGGACGCAATGCACCGCCTGCTTGCAATAGAAGACGGGAATAGCTGCGATGCGGGCTGCCATCACCCCATGCGATTGTGCACCCACCTCATGAGGAAGAGTACGAGCTCCATGACGACTGGCACGTTGCGCTCCGCCTTCCGCACCGCTGCCTCCAAGACGTTGCCCAGTCCCCGCAAGGCGTCGCGGCGTATGGCTTCTTCCAGCATCACGCAGTCATCAGGCAGGTCCGGCGCGCTGGCAGCACCTCCGCCGCGGCCGGTTCGACGGCTAGAGGTCGTGGCAGCAGCCATGTCCTTACCGTTGGGAAGGCCTCGGGACTCGGGGAACGGTTGGCCGTGGCCGTAAAGTGCAGAGAGCAAACGGAAAGCCTGCTCCACGTGGGATGGAAAACGCGGGAGGAACCTGGGGACCAGGCGGGCCGCGAGTCGCCGTGCGCCGAGACTTCCTGGGGTTAGTGGCAGAGGACAACGTATGGGGGATGGGATGAAGATCAGACAGGTGGGGTAGCGCTGAGGGCAGCAGTTGGAAGATTGGGTGAGGTTGAGGTTCGGCCAGGTGGCGCCTGAAGGCGGGCACGGCGGCGGCTTGCGTCTACGCCTTCCCCTCTCACCATTTGCACAGTCCAGCAGACCCTGGAAGGCCAGAGCCTCACTACCGCTCTCACTGCCCTTCAGCAGCGTCCCATAATTGAGATAAATAGCGCGAACCTCCGCCCGCCTCTGCTCCCTGATATGCAGGGAGTGTGCGACTTCGGCAGCAATCTCCGCATCCGTAAAGGACTTCTTCGTGGCCGGCGCATCGCCATCACCAATGGCTGCGCGCCGCCTCTTGCTACCAATTGTTGGCGAGCACTCGAAGGCTGAATCACCGGACATCTGGCACTTTCATCTCAGCCTCCCTCCCGCCCTCGCCTTTCCCTGCGGCGAGCCGCACGTCTTTACCAGAGCTTAACAGTTCATTTTGTTAGACCGAAATGCGTTGCGTTCTTTGATCCTTCCGATACGCGAGCAAGGCAACCTGAAGAAGCTCCTAAACGTATTGGCAGGCAAACTTAACATATAAAGTTTATAGCTTAAAATGTATACAGAAAATGGGTTTGCGCACGCAAGGTGTTCTGAGCGGATGTACGTGTGGCGGGGCAAGACGGCGGGGAAAAGCCGATACCTCAGTGAGGCATTGCCAAGGCTTCATATTACTTTGGAACCATATAACATGTTTACGAACTCAAATATAGGCTACAGTGTAGCAAGATGAAGGATTACACGTCACATCCTTAACGCCGGTGTGCACCTTTCATGCGTTAGAGGGTATCGAATTCAAAAGCAGGCCTCATAGTACGAATGGCTGACCTTAAGGAATTGTACCTCCAAAAATGTGGCGACTTCGCATGTGAACCTATCACGCCCATCTTAGAGGCTCTTAATGCACGGTACGGGAGTTTGTGAAAGCAAGAGCATAGAATGATTGAGACCGCTTTTAGGGTCCTGCACATTTCATGCGCTCGGAGCACATGTCGAGGTCTGCTCATAACGTGTGCAGGCGTCCCCTGGACGTCATCGCCCTCGATGGGAAGACCAAAGCCTTGTTTAACAACCGCATCAAGCCCATGCAGGTGAGCGCCTACCGGGCTTGTATGCTGCTGCGTGGGTCTGGCACCAGGGTTACGGTAGGAGCACACTCCATGTCGAGGTCTGGTCAAACAACAATGCTGCAGGACCTAAGCCCCGCGGCCCTGCAAGGGGCCCTCGTCCATGCCCATCCCCTTGAAATCCAAAAACAATCTGGAATTTCTTCCTTAGCATGGCGTCCATCCATCCTTCCTTCGACGCGGCTAGATATTTTGCAACTGATAGAGGCTTGGCTTGGCTCAGCTTAAACGCGCACTGATCCAGCCACACTTTGAGGCCGCATCTTTGCTGACCCAGATGATGACTGACACCGGGCAGCCGCCTAGGGCTCCCGGTAGGCGATCTGGGTCAGGATGCCGCCCAGCGCACGACGCGGCTGCGTGGCTTCGGAGCCGCGGTCCCCCCCCAAACTGGTCAGCACATTACCCCTTGGATGAGGGCTGTCCAAATGTGGTGGTTTTTCACTTGCTCCATTTCATTATATTACATGAGTTTCGCAGGTCGCGGTCAGGTCAACATAAATAACTACCCGAGCTGTGTCATCCCCCTAGCGCCTCACCTGACCCAACCTGACCTCACCTGACCTGCCGCCGGACCCTCTCCAAACCCCAACCTCAGGTCATTGCGCTGTGCGAGACGCTGTACGAGTACGGCGGTCTCAGCGTGCTGCGATTGTCGTACAACTTCTTGAACGACATGGCGGTGAAGGCCATCTCCAGACTCATACAGGCAAGGACGACTGACTGGCACTTTCTCGGAGCAGCTTTTTGAATGTTTCTGCCGTACTGAACATGCCGTACCTATACCTAACCTCATCTCTCCATGATCTTCGGCATATGAAGTTTTGCATCTTGGCATTGCGGCGTGTTTCGCCTCCTGCACAGATGAACAGCGGGCTGCGCATGCTGGACCTCACGGGCAATGAGGCGACGGGGGAGGGCGCGGCCGCGCTGGCAGGGGTGCTGACACGGCCAGAGGCCAGACTGCAGGTGTGTGTGCGCGCGTGCGTGTGTGCGAGTGAAGGGGGGTTTAGAACCGCCTCTGTGACGGGCAGTTCGTGACGGGAAATGGGTGCACTACCCATCGGGGCATTAGGGTCTGTTGGGGCCGCGGAGCTAGTAGCCGCAGGTACGCGAAAGGAAATGCGGTTAGGATCTGCTGTACATGAGATTCAGAGAGATTTCCAGCGTACTTCCGAGCTCGAGCTCCGCACTAGCTGGAGATGTCTCAGGGCGCCAAACGCGGTCGCAGGTGATGGATGTGGTTCAGGAAGAAGCTAAGACAGCAAGCGCAAGGAAAGAGCTTTGGGTTTACGGATCTGCGGGGTGGGGTGGGGTGGAGGGGGTGCGGGTGGGGGGTTGTCCCGCGCGGGCGTTTGGAGCAGCCTGCGTGTCTTGGTGACACGGCGGAGAACCGGCGGACGTGGCGATGGAATGTGCGCGCCTCCTTTGGCGAGTGTGCTTGAATGAAATGAGAGAAGGAAGGACTTAGATGAGGGGAGGGAGGGAGGGAGGGAGGGAGGTGAAGAACTTGAGATAGAGCGCTGTTTCTCTCCTCAAGGCCCCCCCTTCCTCTCTCTTCACCCCCTCCTTCCCCGTCCTTTGGGTCCACCATGACTTCACCGCGCTGCACTCAGCATCAGCTTCGGACGGCCTTGGACACCGGCAGCAGTTCACTTCCCACTGTCTCGCACATGAACCCCCATTTCTCTCTCTCTATCTCTCAATATCTATCTATCTATCTCTCTTCCGTCCGTCACGGTGTTCCGCCCTCGGTTATCGCGCCCGCAGTCGGATGTCTTCATCCCAGGCCCGCACTTTCTCACGCGGTTCCCTTCCCCACCTCATCCTCTCCTCCTCCTTCCCAAACCATTCAGGCGCTTGTGTTGCGGAATAACCCGCTGGGGGACGCGGGCGTGCTGGAGATTGCGGAAATGCTCCGGTAAGAGGTTGCAGCAGCGGTACAGGCGGCGGCAGAGCGCCTGGTTTCGGTGCAAACACTTTTCCCCCACCCGCCCCCGATGTTTGGGTTTGGACCCCCACCCCACCCCGTTCACCGCGGAGCCCCACAAGCTTGCCAATGTGTTCTTGGTTTCAGTCACGGTTTTTGAGTATGCGGGTTTCCCTTCTTAATTAAGCTCGTTAGGCCCTCGGCATCGCTTGTCCACCTTCCCCCTCTTTTTCTGTCTTATCCTCACCCCCCTTCTTCCCTACCTCCTCCTCCCCTTACCTTCCCTTTCGTTCTTTCTTTCCCTTCTAGGGCGCGGCAAAAGGAAACCCGGCTTCCTTCCCTCCCTCTTGCCCCAAGTCGCAAGCGCCAACAAACTCCGATATCCGCGCGTTCGCTTCTCTTTTCACTGACAACCCCGCGCTCTCCCTCTCCTTGCGTGCTTTACCTACCTAAGTCGCGAGTAGTAGGAAATGGCGCGAATGGGTGATACCAGAGTTATAATTGTACCGGGACAAATGCCCTGTCCAGCGATATGGTGTAATTCCCTCGGTTGTGTATATGTTTGTGTGTATTTTGTGTGCAGGAGCAACTCCTCGCTGACGATGTTGGACTTGGCTGACACGCACTGTGGCATCCAGGGGGTCATTGGGATCTCAAATGCTCTCACGGATGGTAACAACACGTTGAAGGTGGGTGAGTGTGTTTGTGTGAGCGTGCGTGGCTGCGTGTGTGAAGCTGTTGCGTGGCAGATACATGAACGCGCGTCGCAACACCGCAGAAAGCGCACCCGTGCACACACCTAATCCTTGACCCTGCCTTTTCCTTTGATGCTACTGCTACTGCCACTGCTGCGACTCCTGTTCTGCTACTGCTCGTTTGTTTTTCCTCCAATAGCAGCGCCGCAGTCGTCTGCCAGTGCTATCTGTTCAGGGTGATAAACCCGGCATTGCTTTGCTTGTTCTTGTTGTTGTTCCAACATGTTGTGTCACGTCCTTTGGTGACAGATTTTGGACCTGGAGGACGCCCAAGTGCATGCACAGGTGAGGTCCAAGATTAGCGAAACGCGACCACGTGAGAAGTTGGGGGCTTACGTCATTACAGCGTCCGTGCGGCCGTACAAGTTCCACATGGCAGTGTGTGTGCCTCCTCTCTCTCTCTCTCTCTCTCTCTCTCTCTCTCTCTCTCTCTCTCTCTTGACGTGGGCCCCCGCTAGATCATGTGGATGGGTGCTGTGCCACCCGGTCCTCCCCATCACCTCCCGTGTCTCATCCACGCTTCCATGGTCTCTCAATCAATGGTCACCCAACACGCATTCTCCTCCTTCTCCTGCTGCTCCACATCCTCCTCGATTGTCTTTTCACTCTCAAAAACTTCACACCACCACCACCACCACCATGTGGCTTGCATCTGGCTCACATCGCGTTTGTACATTGCACTTCCACCTTCCCCTCTCCCTTTCCCCTCTTCTTGGTCCTCCTCCTCTTCCTTCTCCTCACTGGTTTAACCTCCCTAACACCCTTCTCCTCCCGCCGCTACGTACACACATATATATGCCACATATACCCTCGTAGGGCCCGCAGGACAGCACCTACCAGCACCTGATTCGCATGCTGGCAGTCAACACCTCCCTTACCGACCTGTCCCTCGCCAAGCAGCGCATGACGGACCCCCAATTCGAGCAGCTGGTCACGTATGGGTTTGCGAAGAGCAGGGCGGTGTGGACGTCGCTCTCCCTGAGGGGAAACCGCCTGTCGCCCTTCGCGGGTGAGCTCGGAGCCCCGGGGGCCCCGCTTGTGTCGGTTAGCGGGCGTCTGAGCGGATGTCAGGTGTCAGGGGATGGCTAGTATGGGTTATGGAACTGGGTGGAGTTTCATGGTTTTCTTCCCCTTTTAGTTTCCCTTTGGGGTGAACTGAAGGGGCATCCCCAAAGGGGCATTCCCAAAGGGGATGGGGAACAAGAAGGGGACAACCGAAGGGGGTAGAATGGAGGATAGGAGGGGTGTGCGGCAGGCGCATGAGCCAATTTCCCGCACCACACACGCGCGTGCCCATCTCCACACATACTGCAATTGTGAATATCATCTTTGAGATTAACTCGCGGCCAACGGCCCACTCGGCCAAACCTCCCGTCCAAAAGCCAAAGTTGTCTGCCTTCCCCATGCTGCAGCGAGCAACCCCGCCTTCCATTCATCAATACTCGATGGTCAGGTCCGCAGTGCATGGCCCTGCTTGCCTGATCATGCGGAAAGAACCCCCTACCTTTCCCCACCTGCAAGTCGTCCCTACGCCCCCCTTCCCTGCCCCCACAGGTCCCGCCCTGGAGCGCCTTTTGTCGCTGTGCCCCCGCCTGCAGCGTCTGAACCTGGCCTCCAACGCCCTGGGTAACGATGGTGCTGTTAGTCTGTCTCGATGTCTGGCGTACTGTGCGGAGCTGAGGGAGCTGGACGTGAGGTCCAACGGAATCGGGGATGTGGGCCTTATGGCGCTGGCAGGGGTGCTGCAGCTGGTACACACGATGGAGGTGCGGAAGAAGGGAAGAAAACTACAGACGGACGGGCTGGACTGGTGGAAAGGTGGATGTAGGGAAGGGGGAAGAGGGGACCCCAGGTCATCATCACCCTTTTCGTAACCCCGCTGGTAACTCGACCAGGCATAACCCAACCTACATACCATACCATATGTATACTACACTGCTCTGCATTTAAGTGCGAGAGGGAGGTCAGTTGCTCGGATTCCCCCCGCTCCCCCCTCAACAGCTGTTCATGGTGTGGGGCAACAACTTCGGCCCGGGTGCCTGTCGGGCGATGGCGGACGCGTTATCACACCCCGCGGCTCGCCGCTTGCGCACTGACGTACGGCCGTACACCGTGGATGGGGAGGTCAGTCTGGCGCTCCAGGAGGTCTGAGGACAGAGCCCACCTCCGACCCCACGGGCAGCACCCGGCGACGCGAGGGGCCGGCGGACCAGCGAGCGGGCTAGCTGGTCGGCAAGCCAGCAGCCAGATGAGTGACTGTATCTAGAGGGCCCGCGAACCAGCGAGGCGTGGAGAGGGGTGGAGTAGGAGCCCTAGGGCGCGGAAAGGGAGGGGGAGAAGAGGCCGGGACGGGCAGGAAAGGTACATGGAAACGTGCCTGCCGTAGTGGGCTAGTACTGGTGCGCGGGTTGCATGGGTCTGGGGGAGGGGACAGCCGCGGATGCATGCACACCCCGGCGTGTGTGTTTCCGTTTGGTGGATAGCTGGTGGGGAATAGTGAAGAAGACTTTGATAAACACGTCGGGAGGGCGCCGGCCTTCTGCCTCCCGCTGATGGTGGTGAGGGGTGTTGGTAGGGGGTTGGAACAGCGCGTCTCTCAAGTCAAGGCGAGTTTGAGTGTGGCGGTGAGCGGTGGCGAGGGCACGGGAGGGACATGGGTATGCCGTGTGGGCTCTCGCCAGGTAGCTGCCCACATTGGAGTATAGCCAAGGGAACCCTCCCTCTCAATGTGGAGCATTGCCCGATGCGCATGAGAGACAAGGTATTGGGATGGCGTGCGCTGGCTCCTAATGAACCGAGCACTGTATCTGTGCACATTACATTTGGGGAATTGCCAGCTATACCCTCTGCCTCCCCGCTACCACCCGACCCCTCATCAGCACTTCTTCTTCTCCGCAGTCGCAACCGCAACCGCAACTGATAAAACCGTCAACCGGCCATCTTGTTGGCAATACACTAACCACTCAACCGCACGCAACCGTCGTGAGCCTCTTCTCCCGTCTTGAGGCGTCGAGATGTCCTTTGCGTAGGAGATGAGCCTCCGCTTGGCCCTCCTCCCAACCCCTACCTAAGAGAAACGGCACCAGACGCCGCCTTTTACGTCCACTACGCTTCCGGGGCCATGTTCCATTCCATCACCCCTGCCAGAGCCGCACACAATGAACGTCGTCCCTTTCCGTGCAATACGTTTTCCGTACCATGTTTCCGTAAAGCACACGCTCCTGCCGTGCGCGCTTTGCCGTACACGCTGCACCGCGCCTTGCTAACGATAGTGGAGAGCTCGAAATCCGTTATTTTTACTCCTCACGAGCCCCTGCTCCGATGGCAATGCCGATATTCAGCCCCTCACCTCTTGGCTGCGTCGTCACGGAGAACGCGAGATGAACGAAGGACAACGAGGAGACGGTGTGAGACACAGCCGGTGCACGCGACCCCAAGCCGTCCGATGCACGGTGCCTATCGTCCACTCATGCCCCCATTTCTAGGCACGCTGCCTTCCTTGACAGTGGCGCCGGAATGACAGGTCCTTCGCGACCCACCTCTCCTCTCCCCACCTCCTCGGACCTTTCCGGTCTTTCCTGAAATGACCCATGGGTCTTTTGCTGTGGCTGCGTTTCCCAACCTCTGGCAGCCACACATGCCCCCCGTTTGCTTGTTGAGGAGGCAGTCCTTACTGTTCCATAGGAGCCGGGCCCCCGCCCCCGCCCACGTCCCCACCAGCCCCCGGCGCCCCGCTCCCCCCTGGCGCCTGCGGCTGCTGGCCTCCCTCTGCTCCGGCTGGTCCCCCTCCCTGAGCCTGGTTTTGATTCTGCTGCCGCTCCCGGTTCACAAGGTCCTGGATAGCGGACAGGAAGTCGGCTACGGAGTATCCCTGAACGGCGGAGTTGCGGGTTACGGGAATCACAAATTCAGCCCTGCAAACCGATACCACCTCAGGGTGGGAAACACACACATACACATACATACATACACACACACCGGGAGTCCCTCGATAACCCACCGTGGCCCTCAATCCAAACTGCGACAAGTCCAGTTGCCCGGTCTGTAGTGCCGTACTGAAGCTGCCCAGTTGCTGCTGGAACTGCGGACTGTGAGCCAAGGCCACGAGAGCCTCCGGGGTTCTGTTGGAAGGGCCAGGAGGGGGCGGGGGGGTCGAGGAGGGTGGGAAAATCATTTTTTGCAAACGACGCAATGGGTCAATTACCGCAAGAGGCAGATGAGGGGAAATAAGGCGGGGCAGAAGTGCCCTGGAAGACGATGCAGGGGACCCCTCTTAACCGTTCTGGAAGCAGCGGATCGGACAAAAGCGTGGAGTAATCACATGCAAAATGTGGAACCAGATTCAAATTGTAACAGAAAATTCAAACTGGCGATGTCCAGGGGTGAGAGAAGGACGGACCAGGGTAGAAATAGGAATAGGCAATCGACAAAGCGGTAGGAAGAAGTGGGTGGCAATTACTGCAGCAGTAAAACCGTGCAGCAATACCTGTGTTCCTCGGGCAGGTGCGGCCCCAGCACCTCCAGTACGGCAGGGTCCCGCAGTACGGGCAGGATGGTTTCGGGGCGCAGCACTTCCGCCAGGGACGGTCCGGGGGCCACCGCGGTTCGTCGGTTGTGACCCTGAGGCGAGTTTGAAAACAAGCAGGTGCGGGGCGGTTGCGGTAGCTACGTGCAAAAGTCAAAATTGGGGGTTGGGGAATCACATGCGAGAAAGTGGGAAGTGAACTCCTGCCGGTGTCCAAGGTGGGTGGGGTGGGGTGGGGACCCGGGGAAATGGGGAGCTCATGAGAAAATATATGCAAAGGATGAATGCGAACGACGTTCGAAGCACCAACTGCCGGAGTCTGCCTGTCTGTTTACCTGTCTGTCTGCCTGTCTGTCTGTCTGTATCCTTAGCCCCACAACTCCGCTCGCCCTTCACAACAAACCCGCATGCCCAATAGGAACTGTACACAGCTGTCAAATAAACACACTGTACAAGATTCATAACGCACTCTACCAGGTTCACAATATACACACACGCACACACACACACACACCGCTCGATTATTTTCCTCGGTGAAGCTATTGTCCGTGTGCCATCTATCCTCGCCACTTCCTGCCCGCGGCCCCCATCACCACAACACACCCACACCCACACCCACCCGCGAGGCCTAGCACGCGCGTACATGTACATGTACACTCGTACGCACACCCTCTCCCTTTCCCCCACCTCACCCTTCAGCCGCTCACCTGCACCGCCGCCAGCTGGGCTAGCAGGCTCTGCGCCAGCTGCTCTTCAGGGCCGTACGCCGGACGCGACCCGCCACCCAGCCCCGCAGCGATGGCATTGCCTAAGATGGCCGCCAGGTGACCAGCCTTGCGACAGGTGAGGTCGACGAGGCGAGGCCGGGGAAGGAAGGAACGGACGCGTGTGCGGAGGGCGCGTGCGGAGCTGCGTGTATCGACCTCCGGCCTCTTTGGCCTGTGCTTTCCTCTCCCAAGGATTTCCCCTCTGCCGCCCTCCCTCACCCGCCTCTTTTCCATTTGTCCCTTAAAGCACCATCCAACACCTCTTTACTGTCCTTACCGTCCTATAGCGAGCCGGAGGTCACGAGGACTCACCACCCTGGTCCACGTGACCCCCCCTCCTGACCGCAACGGCCGGGGCCCAGCCGGGGCCCAGCCCACCTCATCTGCCCAGCACAGCACACACACACACACACACACCTGCGCATTCGTGGCTGCTATGCTGCCCGGCGTTTGTGCGGGTGCTGTGGGCAGCTGCCCCACGGACTGGCCCTGACCCAGCATGGCCCCCGCCCCCGCCTCACTAACGATAGCGGAAGGTGGGATCAAAACATGGAAAGAGGGATTGGGGGAAAGGGAGATTATATCATAAACAGACGTGGGGAAAGGGGGCAAAGGGAAGGTAGGTAGGGCGAACCGCTGACAAGGGGAGGGGGGAAAGACGAACCACACACGATTGAAGCTGCTGCCAGGGCAAGAGAGTAACAAACGTAGAACTGACTGGAGGGGGGAAATCACACGATGCAAAAGGCAACGGGTCAGATGCTGCCGGCGTCCGAAGCACCAGCTGCTCCGAAAAAAGCGGAGAGAAGGGACGGCGGCAGGGAGGTGGTAAGGAGTACACAGAGGAGTTAGTGGTGATGGGAAGGGGGATAGTAGCCGTACTCGGGGGGGAGCAGTTGCGAATGGGGTAGAGAGGAGAGAAGAGAGGAGAGAGCGGAGCGAGAGGAGAGAGGAGAGAGAAGAGGTGGGTTGGTGGTTGAGTAGGAGGAGGAAGACGTCGACTGGGGAAATGATGACGGCCATAGACCCATTCCGTGTTTTTTCTTCGTACCTCGTTCTTAAGTACGACTGTACGAATATCCATTTTGGGGTCGTAATCGAGTTCAAACCGTGCTCCTTGCCCCTCACCTCGCCACATGCGCGTGCTCCACAGCCGATGTGGGCGCGAGGCCGTCCACCGCCCACTCCGACCCGTTTCCCCCACCTCCACCTCCACCATTGCCGCCGGTTGAGGCATCCCCCAGCTCTTGACGCGCCACGTGGCAACACGTCGCATCAGCGTGCGTGTGCCAGCAGCACGAGACAGATCCGAGACAGGCGAACACACGCGTACGTGTTCCAACGGTGAACCACCAAGGGCGGTAAAAATAAAAAACAGCAAACAGCAAACAACAGATGTCAGAGCATGCATGAAGACGGGGCGGATGGACGTTCTATCGACAAGGATGGCGAAGGCAAACGCAAGCGCAAGGGAAAGAGAGGGGGAGGGAGAGCAGGAGAAAGCGCCCAAAACTCTCAACTTTGGAAAGGCCTACAATCCCCAACCCGCCCCACGCACCGTGTGCTCCAGCCAGCGCCGCATTGAAAGAGGCCACCAAGGCCGTATCGCCCTCCGGCTGGGGAACCTGAAACCTGAAGGCGTGTATGATGTGTGAAACAGGGGGGTATAGCTTCACCCGCGGCAGCTACCCTGCGAAACCCTGCCTTCCCCGGCATTTCGGGGCACCCTCATCCAGTCACCCTAGTCAACTTCTCAGTGGATCACTCAGGTTCCGCACCCACCACCAGCATCCAACGGAATCTGCCGGGTCAACAGCGGCCCAACTCCATTCCTGGTCGGCTCGCAGGTTAGCTTTATCCCAGGTCACCACCGTCCATCAACTAGGGGCGCAATGCCTTCCACCATCGGAAGGACTTTTGACCCTGACAGGTCTCGATCGTGTATGTATGTATGTATGTATGTATATATATATGTATGTATGTATGTATATATGTATATATATATATGTATGTATGTATGTATGTATGTATGTATGTATGTATGTATGTATGTATGTATGTATGTATGTATGTATGTATGTACGGTTTAGGGTTCCGGGTAGGTAGCGGGCAGGAGGTGAGTCGGGTTTTTATGGTGTTCTGGTTCGTACTGTCGTGCGGTTGTGAAAAAGGAATACGAAGCCCACGCGCTCAGGTTTCTCCTGCCCTCTCCCTCCCGCCCTCTTTCTCCCCTACCCTCTCCCCCCCGCTCTCCTCAACCTCATCCTTCCTCTGCCCTCCCCCGGCACTCCTCCAAACACCCCCCCGCCCCTCCACCCACCAGAAGAACATGTCCCGGGTCCGGTCGTCCACGAACTTGAGCACGGCTGCGCGCTGGCCAGGGATCTGGTACACCGATACGCGGGGACACACATGCACACACATTTACTGGGCGGAAGGGGAGGCGGAGTGGGAGTGGAAAAACATGGATTGGCGTGGGCGTGGGCGTGCGTGCGTGCGTGGCAGAACTGGTTATCCTGTGCGCTGTGTTTTGTTTTTTTGATGGGGCCCCTGTTTTGGGGATAGCTGAAAAGGATGGGTAAGAGGGCAAGAGGCGGCTTTGCAGCGTGACAGCAAATCGACTCGCGGGGGGGGGGAGAAAGGGGCTTTCGGAGCCAGTTGTCCCGCGTGGGTCGTCGTTTTTAAATTGCTCCGTGTACGTAGAGCTCTTGAAGCAGCGTTGATTCAGCAGTAGCAGCAGTAGCAGTTGCTTCAAAACCACCTTCTTCGGCCCATGAACCCCTGAAATCGCTTCAGAGGCCCTATTCCCTCCGGGCTCCAGAAGGCGACGTTTCCACAGGAGCCATCATCGCCACCACCACGCCATCACCATCGCCACCACCACGCCATCACCATCGCCACCACCATCACCATCACCATCGCCACCACCATCACCATCACCATCACCATCACCATCACCATCGCCACCACCATCACCACCACCACGCCACCACCATCGCCATCATCACCGCATGAACCTCCATAACAGGAATACACAGCACTGCAGCCGGTCACCGCGTGGGAGAACAGACGTACATACATATACACATACGTTTTCCGGTTAATGGTTTCAACTTGCCGTACCATTTCGAGGGTCGCCTCTCCCGGAAACACGATGATATCATCCTCAGGCACGTCAACAGTGCCAGTTGCCGTACGCTCGTACCATTGCACGTGGACGAGCGTATCCTCGGTCTAAGAGAGGGGGTGGGGTTCAAAGTCATGTCGGCATCAGACGGGATGACGGGTTGATGCAAAATTGTGGGTGAGAAGGTCATCGGCGTGACGTATCGGGACAGGCAGCGATGAGAGGGAGAGGCTTTTGTGAAAGGAGAAATAGGAGCAACAAAGGCGCAAGACGGTCCATCAGTTTGTGTTGAAGCATCATTTCTGAAGGGCATTAATTGTAGCTTGCGCCTTCCCGGGATGGGTGTTAACATCCAAAGCCCCGTCGGCACGCCGACCCGCGGACCCGTGGGTGCCATTTCCTCGGGAGCTATTTGTCCCAAGCCCCAATCATAAGCGTCAGTACAAAAGCGCCAAGCCCGATCAGGGCAGGTACTGCTGGTGCCGTGGAATAGTGCTCCGCTCATCACCTGTATAAGCTTCGCGAGCCCCTTTCGCGTGTCGGGGACCAGCTGTCCATTCTGAAGCCTTAATTTACCAGCCCTGAACTCACATAATGTGGCTTCCATACTACAAAGATTAACGGCGGCAAACCTTTGGTTGCAGATCGATGACGATGACAATTGAAAAGGGAGGTCTCGTTGAGACAAGTTATATCTAGAAGGTATTTGGTAATTGCCCTTTAAACTAAACTTCATATACAAAGGTCAGCTCTATGCCATTAGACGGACTCGCCCCTTTGCAACCCCACAAATCATTCTATTACGACACAATTCCGGCCTTCCCGAGAAGGCATACAGTTGGCGCCTAATCTTTTTCCAAGTAAGTGCTTTAGAATTTCGGTTTTGGTGCACATTGCTTTTGCTGCGCATTACTTTTATCCGTCACTGTTGAGAAGACCTTGTGCAGCAGACAGCGGCCACGAGTATTCGAATCAAGTGTTATCAACGTAGGAAATATAAGCTGCCTTAAAGTCGATAATGAAGCCTTGCCACTTTGATAAGCATGGCCGTCTTCGGATATTGGCTATCGATGACGACTCTGTCAACCTGATGGTGATTGAGTCTGTGCTGAAGTCCACGGGTTGGAGCATCGTCCCGGCAATAGACGGCTCAGAAGCCTACTCTGCTGTTGATGATGAGGATACCTGGCCGGACCTCGTGCTACTGGACTATAATCTTGAAGTTGGAGATAGCGGGGAGGCAGTCCTTGCAAAATTGCGCAGCAGGTTTGGCACGGCTAACGTGCCGATCGTGATGTGCACCGCCATGTCAGCCAACTCGGTGGAGCTGGAGCACTGTTTGTCAGCTGGCGCAGTCGACGTACTTTTTAAGCCATATGAACGTGATCGCGTTATGGAAATGGTCAAGAAGCACTGCCCTGGCAAAATGGCACCCCCGCCGGCACCAGCTCCCCCCCCTCCCCCGGCCACCGCATCTCCACCTGCCACTGTCCCGGCGCCAGCTCCAGCACCCGCTCCCGCGGCCCCGCCCCCGCCGCCTCCACCGCCAACTGAACCTGACGTGGAATCCTTCTGCGCTGGCCTTGACTTGCAATATGTGGGAAAGAAACTAAAAGAGCAGGGCGTCTCGTTGAAGGACCTGGCAGGACTTGACGACACGGGGCTGCGCAAGCTGGGCGTGGTCGTCAAATCGCAGCGCGATAAGATTCTTGAGGCAGCAAAGACGCTATGAGAGCAGCGGCGACGGAGGGAACCAGCCCTCCCCGGCCCCAGTCTTCACCTGTGCGCCACATGGCAGTGGGGGCGGCGTTGCGGTTTTCGTTCTGCAGTTTTTTCACACTGTTGCATTGAACCTGCAAGGAAAGCGACGGAATCCGGCTGTTAATCCTGGTGTGATCTGGTGTTTCAGGTGTGTAGCCAAAGGGACGGCAGACTGGACGAGGTGGCCCGGATGGTGGTCCATCGTGTTTTTCGAACCGCAGCGCTGCGTAGTGTCCATCTTTGTATGCTTAGAGCTGACACGGCTCTCCCTTCACGGGGCCCTGGCTGGCCCCATGAACTCTTGAACTTCCCATGAGCTTCGGTGCGTCAGTTGTGGAATGAGGATGTGACGAGGATGCAAAGGTCTGTGTTGTCGTGGTTACGCATGTGGCTGCGAGGTAGAGAGCTTACAAGGGCTATGTATGCATGTGGCATGGCATGGCATAGTATTGCAAATGCCCCAGCAGCGGGGGCCAGCGGGGCCACTACCCCTAAACCGAGATGCGAATTTTGTAGAGAGGCAAGCTATAGGGTGTTGTGTGGCGCTGCTCAGCATTCAGCCAGTTGCCCGAAATGCAAAAGGTGCTGCGGAGGTGCGGTTCTACACACAGACTTTAAATTGCTGTTCGTCGTCTTTGTATCACACACACACACCGGATGTTTGTCACAATCGGTCGAGGTTTTTGCCTTGCTAGGGCACGTATTATGCGATTTCGTATTGTATCATGGCGTATCGTTATCGGTGAGGTAGCAGCGACCCAGACAGGGCAAGTAAAGATGCGGCGTGAACTGAGCCGCGAGGAGGAGGCGTTGGAGGTGGTGTACATCAGACGCTACCGTGATTTCATGATTCGTATACACGAGGGAAAGGAAGAGTGAGGACTCTTAGGGTTTACGTGGAAAGCGTCCCGCTCCCCATCTCTTCGTCTCCTTCTTCTTCTCCTTATTGTGAACTTCAGTTTTGCGCTCTTCGCTTCGTCAGGACCGGCCGTATCCTTTTGCGGTGTCGCCCTCCCCGGCGGGGGGCCCCCGCAACACACACACCACACGCACAGCCCACATGCACAGATACGTGCGCGCGCGGGGTGGGCTGTGTTGCCAACCCGGGTAGTGTGAAACGCACGCACGCACGCACAGATGTTGCGTCGTTTCCTCCCATCACATATGCCGCGCGGAGTTGATGATATTGGAACTCTTGCGCGTTGTTTGAGAACTGTTGCCATGAGCTCGTGGCGGCTTCACTGATCCAAAGATATGTTGGGTACTGTGTGATCTTGGGTAACTGTGTGTGTCGGCGTGCGTGTCAGTGTGCTGCAGCCGCCAACGCTGCATTGAGATGTAGGGTTAGGGGTACACGAGATGATTTTGAGGGAGACAACAACCCACTTAGAGCCAAATGGATTGAGGTAATGTCCGCCCGGTGCCCCATGCCCGTTGAGTAGATGCATTGTTGCATGTAGGGCCGGGCTATCATGTTCGATGCCTGTGCTTGCCGCTTTGAATCAGCCTTGATCCGTCGGATGGGTGGACGTGCTTTGGGAACAAGTCCTGCTCGCTACACGGCGGCTTATGTGGTGGTGCTGCTTCTGCTGTGCTGCTCCTACAAGTGCTGTCGGTTCTTCCTCCTCCCGCTGCTCCTAATGTTTTCCATATCCTCCTGCGCGAAGCTTTTGCTGGGTCTTGACGTATTTTTACCTTCTAATCCGTGTTGGACTTGCACCACTCGCCACCTGCTACCGACTGGCAGTTAGCCAACCGACTGGCAGTTAGCCAACCGACTGGCAGTTAGCTAACAGACGGACAGACTGGAACATGGGAGAGACATCGGCAGCGGGATGGAACATCGAGCCGCTGTCCTGCGCCGCCCCATCACGTGCCGGAATGGCACGCCACGCCACCTCATGTCACGCCCCGCATCATGTTCTGGAATGACGCACTGCCATCCCACGTCCCCGGCCCCCGAGTGATTATTTAGCAGTACGCCAGATGGCCACGCTCGTGAAAATGCAAAGGAATGGCAAAAAAAGTTAATTAAGGACTGCCGCTGCGAAGAGCCTCCCTATAACGTGCGTTGACAGTTGATCCATTTCATATCAAAGTAAGTAATGGGATGCGGGTGTGGGTAGCTGAATGGGCGATCAATGCATGCGTACGTTTCTTCTGTAATGCTGTCGTGTTGAGAACTATGATTTCTGAGGAAGGACGGGCTTGCCTGCTGGTAAAGGGAGCTTACTCCTGCATGTGTGTGCGTGTTGCGTTGCGACACCAAGCTTCTGTGTATGTATGTATGTATGTATGTATGTATGTATGTATGGGCACGTGTGCAGTTTTTCTGGGAGTTTTAGAAGGTAACCGAGTGCATGTGTGCTACCCTGTGTTTGTGTGTCGTATTTCCTTGTTGCGGCGCCTCAGGCAATCTTTCAGTCCACCCCGATAGGTTTGTATATATGTACGCATGTATGTATGTATGCATAACCGGCCTTCCGATGTCCTTGCTGGCAGGCGGATAGGAGTGTACATGCGCAACGAACTGCTATTACGTGTCCTTTCCACACCTCTAGGATGTGAATATTACGTATGATATTGTGCATCAGATCTTTGTTGCTCTCTTGTAATCTGGCGATATTGAATTGCCCTAGCGGCCAGAGTTCTTTCCCAGGTGGGCTTCCGTACTGCGAGACACAGCACGGCGGCGGCGTACAACACAGCACCATGCCGGGCTTCTGACAGGGGTCGGAGAGAGTTTGGTTTGTCCATCAAAACAGATGCCTGCAAACGGGGTTAACACTGCCCATTTGAAAGCCGGTCATACAGCAAGTCCTACAACCACATATACATACACACACACATTTCGGCCGTCGCCCGGCGACCACGTCACTTTACTTGGGGACCAGTGTAACCCTCTAATCCTCGCTTGGGACATGTCTGGGCCTGTCTTGGCTTCTGATGCCCTGGCGATGGTGGTCATGTCCAAGAACCAGTTCCTGTAACACAGACATTAAATAAGCTAATGCGCCGGCCTGCTCATGCCCTACCTAGGTAGCTAGGCACTGGTTACGGTGGGGTTCGAACGGGTGTCGCGCGAGTACAGACACAATTAAATTAGGTAAGTACAGATTGTTGGGCCATTCAGCCGTACAACTGGTACGGCCATACGTCATTTAACCAATGTGCATGTGTCTGTGGGCCTACCCTCCATGGCAACGCCGAAGGGTAGTAACTACAAATCCCCGACCCCCCTATCCTCGCCGATCATCAGTGAAAAGAAAAGCATGTGTCACCCACATGTGCAAGGCGCCCATCAAAATATGATGTATCATTTATTCTCACGCAAACAATAACAAAAACAAAAGCTGAAATCATAGATTTCATGGTATTTCACACGAGTATATTCCGCTGCTTGTTCGTGTTCAAATAGAACCTCTTCCATTCCCGCCAATTTTCGTTCGTTAAGAATAAGGTTGGCAACCACGGAAATATCCAAATCCAAACCGAATAAACGGTTAAAGCACCAAGACACACAAAACAACAACCACCGTGCGTCCTTTTCCTTCTTCTCTTTTGTGCCTGAAGGACCGCAACCCTCGAAACATATTTGGCATCGTTCTCGTCCACCGGTCTTGTACCGAGATCTCGTATGGTCCCGTACGGCGCAAAGGCGCGACGCTGAACCGTGTTCCTTCATTTTTTCATTTTCACTCCCCCGCATCCGTAAAGCCCACCTTAATAAAACCTTAATAAAAAAACGAGCAGGCATGCAGTTATTTGCCAACCCCTGCATATCTCTATTCACTCTTGCTCTCCTTCAGATGATCCTCCTCAGATGAACTACCTGGTGAGCATCCAAAGCTCAAAAATCCCCTTTCTGGGTACGGGCTGCCAAAACTGCCACCAGCTGAAACAGCCCATGCCCACCTACCCGCTCGCCCTTCATTACACGATGCCACATGATGCCAAATGAGAATGAAACCAACACCAACGCAAACCTCGCTAACGCATGGTTCGGGCGCTACAAAGCTCGTCTAGCGTGTCCTGCAGTACACGTACGGCGCACGCAGCTACGTCGGCCGCGGATGCTGCCGTACTCACCGGCGCTGCGCACATGCCGGGCTGCCGCAACCGCCTCCGCACCGTTTCGAAAGCGTCAAGAGCTGCATCGATAAAACTGTACGGCAGTGTCGTACTCGCAAAAACGTGCGGCGTGGTGGTCATGTACCGGAACGAGCGGACCAAGTCCAGATTGACAGCTGTGATACTTTCCCGTACGAAGCCTAAGCCTGTTTGCAGCCGTTGGAGTCCGGTTTGCGAATCCGGATTCGAATCCAAAACCGCGGATTTCTCCGGCCGCACCGCCCCGCCGTCGCCACCCTGACTGTCTATCAATCCATCGCTGCTGCTGTCGCCGCCGCCGCCGCCACCGCCGCCACCGCCGGCTTTCGGTAGCGGCCCCTTGGTCCTGGACTTCCGCCCGACGGCGGTCGGAGCGGCGGCGGCAGCGGCGGCGCCATTCCGTGCAGCCTCCAGTGCTGCTCTATTCAGGTTGCGCGCTGCCGTCATCGGAAAAACTGGATCAAAATCCAGATCCTGCTCCAGCTCGTACTCCGTATCAGCAATGGCAGCTAGCACATCCCAGTCGTAGCAGTGCCGCCGCTGGCACGGCGTCTGCGGCGTCTCCTGCTTGCCGGCTGTAGTACTGCTACTGCTCGCCACTGAGCCGCCGCCGGCCCCTCCACTCAAAGCATCATGTATCAGCATGCGGCGGCGGCTATTCCTCCCTCCATTGCCATCGCCATCACCGCTTTCAGCGCTATTGGCGGCGCCCGGCATGCTCCTAACCTCCATCGCCACCGGCGAGTCCGTACGCAATCTTCCCCGCTCCGAAACCCAATGCCCTGCCGACGACGGCACACCCTCGCCACAATCCGCACCTATCCCCGTGGCCATGGCTGCGGCAACTGTAGTGGGCTTGGCTGCCGTCGCCGTCGCTACATCCACGTCCTCAACTTGCGACCCAAGCCGCCGTACCAGGTTCTGCGCCGCCGCACCTGCCGCCGCCGCCGTTACGGATGAACCAACACGTGCCGCGATGCGCCGCGGCAGCTGACTTCCACCTTCCACCTGTCCCGCCCTGTCCCACCAACTCTGGAGCCACCGCCACCGCCGCTGCCACTCCGCCAATGGCTCCGGAGCTGCGTACAACAACGTCCCCGCCTCCGCCTCCGCTGCCGATCGTGTTTCCTCCCCCTCCTCCGGCGCCCCTGCGTCCGCAGCAAGGCGCCGCCCAGCGCGAGCGGTGCCGGCACTACCCGCCGCCTCCGCCGTCACCGTCGCCGCCTCCGCCGTCGTCGTCTCCAGCACCGGCCAGCCCGGCGCCGGGCCCCAGGAGGCGGGCACAGGGCACAACAGCGGCCGCAGCCTGGGCAGCACCGCCTCCGCCTCCGCCATGTCAAGCGGCAGGTGCTGACGTATGAAGGCCTGCAGCTCCGTTGTGTCGTTATTCGGAGGCCGCAGCAGCGCCGCCAAGGCGCGGAGAACTCCGCCCACGCTCGGCGGCGGCGACGGCAGAGATGCTGTCACACCGCCGCCGCTTCCTCTTCCCCCAGCTGCTGCGGCCGCGGCTGCGGTGCTCGTGGCATTGCGATGGAAATCGCCGCCGGCGACAGGCGGCGGTCCGATTGGCATCCCGATCAGCCGCAATGCGTGGTGCAGAAAGCGCTCCTTTTCTAAATCAAACGGTGCGGCTGCGACTGCGGCGGTGGCGTCAGCGGTGGTAGGAGACGCCGACGCATTGGCAGCCTGACCGGCCCCTGCGGCGTCCGCGTACGCCGGGTCGCCCGGCGCGGTACGAAGTCGCGCCAGGGAGGGCAATGCGTTGAGCTCCACAAGGGTGGGGTGGAAAGTGGCATTGAGCAAGAAGTCCACGCCCAGGACCTCGAAGCCTGCAAGATAACAAAGACGTACGAGGATTTTTAGCGTACATGCGTGCGCACGTCCGCGCATGTGTGTGTTGCGAAGGAGTGAGTGGAAGGCGCGGGTGGACGGTGCTGGCCCAATCCACAACCCACAACCCACCGCAGCCCTCCAGCGCCGCCAGGCCCCGCGCCGCTGCACGCATTCGCCCCGCAGCCGACGCCAGCACCATCCCCAATGACGTCCTGGCGTGTTCCCATGCGCGTTCAAAGACCCGTGGGTCATCTGGCCAGGTCGCCTCCGCGTGGTGCCGTAGCTGGCCCACTGTCCATGGCTGCAACTTCTCGCCGGCAATCGTCCAGTAGTTGACATGATGCAGCTCGTAATGCGGCGTCTTCCCGCTGACGTGATGCGGCTCCTGGCGGGCGGCCCTGCCGCCGCTGCGGTCCATCGCTTCTCGTTGCTGTTGCTGTTCAAGATGACGTCTGCGGCCATGTGCCGTGCCACCCGCGCTGGCACTCGCCGCCGCTGCCGCCGCCGCCAGCGGCAGCTTGTCAAGGGGAGTCTGGATACGATTTCCCTGGACCTCTTCCGCCTCCAAGCGCGGTGAACGCAACAGAGGTTGAAGAAGCTGCCGCCGCCCGTGTTCGCTGCCCGTGGCTGCTGCCATGGCGCCGCCCGTAGCGGCGACCGCGGCGGCGGCGGCGGCTGTGGTGGCACCTCCAATTCCGCCTCCTCTGCCTCCTCCGCTTGACCCCAGCTTGTCCCCAAACACAAGTACCCCACCGCGAAAGAGGTACGCGCGGAGAGGATGGATGGACGTTACCACAACCCACAGGCGCAGGTAGCTGGGGCGATTGTCGTACAAGAACTGCCGCCGTACGTAACTCTGGACGAGCACAAAACCTTTTTGAGTTGCCGCGTCGCCCTTGGCTTGCGGGCCGCCGCCGCGGAGGGCCTGACGTTGGGCCTGCGTAGGCATGTTGACTGTTGTGATATTATTATTAATATTAAAAAAACTACAACATTATTAGGAAAAACCCTAGAAGAGAGAAAAAAATACATGGATGAATGCATGGGCCGAATACGGAAGGACCGCGTGAACAACCTGAGTAATGACGTCATGACCACATGACGACGAAGACGAGAGATGAGAAGAAGACGAGAGGGGAATACGGGTGCAATGCGGGTCGAGGCAGTAACTGCCGACGACGTTTTTGCCGAAGTTTAATCACACCGAGGGAGGTGACGTGAGGGAGCTTTGAAGAAGCCAATTTCAAGGGGTTCGCGCAGGCAGGCGGCTTTAGGCGATTTCAAGACGGCGTGCGCGCGCTGACGCGGGGGGAAGACGCACCTGCCACTGCCGCATCACCCGCACTCCGCGACCTCGGTGGTCGTTCGCTTTCAGCACCCAGGGCAGGTCGGAGGGCGAGGCGCTGAGCTGGGTCCATGACCTCCATATCCAGTACTGCGACGGCAACATGTAGCTGCGAGGAATGAAGTCGAACGCCGCCTCGCCATATGCCTCCTGCTCTCCGTTGATTCCCAACACAACCAACAAACCGCCAACCACCATAAATAACCGCCACGAAGGCCGTACCGGTCGTGGGGAACGGGGGCAATGGACGGACGGCGGCAGTGGGGCGGCGGCGGCTCGGGTCGGGTCGGGTCGGGTCGGGTCGGATCCTCAGGCACGGCTCTGTCTACCCTCTACCTCTCCCTCAGCAGAGGCAGAGTTGTATGGGCATTCCACCGAGCATGTGTCGTAATAGGGTGTCGCTGTGACACGGGATTTTTTTATCCACAACGGAATGTAGCGACACGCAAAAAGGCATGAGGAAGGGTGCGGGAACTCGCCACCTCAGGTCGCCTCAGCGAGGAGAGATGTATGCAGCAGCGGGCATGATGATGATGATGATGGTGATGATGGTGATGATGGTGATGATGCGGCAAGCTAAGGCGCTTGTTAAGTGCCATCCCCTTTTCCGAAGCTCCCGCCCGTCTTACAGGCCAAAAATCCCGAGACGCAGATTCAATTGGCTACCTGCATGGTACGAATCAGCGGCTGCTTGTGTGCAACCGCTTCCATTCCGGGCACGCAGTTGACGCGCTTTGGGGGAGCAATAGCGCCCAGTACGGAGTGGCAGGCTCGGCGGACGGTCCAGTACAGGTCCCAGGACTGTGGCACATAGGCGCCTTTCACGGACATAAAGGAAGCGTGAGCCTCGCCTGAGATTATCTGGTTTTGGGGTTTGGGTTGTTTGGGTTGGGGAAGAGGGGGGCCCGAACGATTGGCGGCTGACCGCGATTCCGAAGGGTGACGCAGGAGCGGGCTTTGATGATGGACATTAATAGGTTTGAAGAAAAGATGACAGCGAGTATGGGCATTTGGGGCTGGGTGCAGGCTTGGACACGAAAGCGGAAGGAGACAAAACGCGACGTGTAGCAACGACCCATCCGGCAAGTTCATTGTTCCGGTGGCGGTCATGAAACATGGCATGCGAGGCTTACCATACGTCCTGAGGAGTTCGTCACGATATCTTTAAAAATCTGGACCTCCCCCGAGGAGAAGAACACAGAGTCCAGCCATAAGCGGACAGGTGCATTGGCGGGCGAGTGATTTGCTGTCGCTGATAGCCTGGCTGAGTTAACACACCAGAGAATGTAAAGAGGAACAAAGTGTCTGATTGAAATCCAGCTCGAGCAAGGGGTGCCGTCACGTCCCGGGAACATGGAAATCGGGCTACCGTAGACGAAAGGTGATGCTTTGGGCAATATGAAATGTCCGACTATCGTACACAGCTTTAGACCATTTAATTGATGTGTCACATCCATTGCATTACTAGATTCGGCTGGCGGTCGTACGACTGTTACAACCTCCGCAAACGGACGCCTGTCCATTCCCAACGGTACGGGCCCTCCTGTGCAGGAACAGGCCCTTGAACGCCGATTTACGGTTTAAGTAATTGATTGAATCCTGTCATAGCGGCTGTATTAATGCATCATGCCTAACGAAGCGGAATTTATCCTTTTGGTGGTTATCATCAGGATTCTGGAATGTAGGCCCTTCCCTTTGGACCGTGTGAGGCCAAATTTATAATTCAAGTAGTGCTTAATTTGTAAATGGAGATGTTGGGGGACTGGATTTTCGTTTCAGGAACTTCAATACGGCACGGTGGGTAGTCCTGGAACTGGATGCAGCGCAAATGCATCCTCGCCCTGTCAATTGACACCGAGATGACCAATCGAATAAATATCATCAGGTTGCTAAGATGTGGCACGCCACCTCTATACCTGTAAAGCGGCATCCGTGACAATCGGACACATTTCCCGTCTCGTACTGAGCGCGTTAACCCACCCCAGCTCATTAGGGCTGTACTAAGGCCCTACATGCATCCCTAAACGTGCGCTCATTTGCGAGTAGTACTGGGGATGCTGCGCTGTTGTATTGGCCTTGCAACGCTTAGAGCCAGCATAAATTCGCAATGAGCAAGCTTTGAACATTCGGATACAAATGATCCATTGATAGTTGTAAATGTTGTCTCTGGAAAGAACAGAACAACTTGAACTTGAACCGAAGCACAAACTACAAGCCTCCGAGGGCTTTATGACCCCGGCAAGGTCCAAGGTGTCCTTTCTTGGACGTTACTTGCTTTGGTGTCAAGGTTCAACGTATAAAACCAAGTTAACAGGTATGGTGGTGTAATACAGTTGTGCAAGGTTACGACATGTGGGTAAACCAACAAACTACTTGTTCAGTAGACGGAGCGTTCGTGCGGTTGTCGCGCGCCAATGTCGCTTGTTCCCAGGACTTGTATGCAATGATATATATATGGAACAAATGTAATGTTCTCCCACCTTACAGGAAAGGTGAAGGAAGACTGAAACCCCATCATGCTAGTTGTGACATGAATGGGCATCATGGGCAAAAAGTGGGTTGGTAGTGAACTGCAATTTCACGCGATTGGGTCTCTTGATATTATTATGCCACTCATGTGGCGTGTTAGGGGGCCAAAGGAGATGCGCGGCGGCTCTAATGCATAACAATAATTTTCCAAGAAAAACTATGGCGCTTTGTGTAATTGGATAGCTCACAGTGTAACAAATAAGAGAAATTTTACTTATTGCGTGTCCGTAACGAAGCAATCCAATCATGTGTGAAGGGCTTCATGTCCGATGCTTAATTACCGCTAAGCGGAAAGTGGTTCCCTGCTTTCCAATAACTCTAGAAGGAGATAATATAAATAGGAGTGTCGCAATTTTCGTGTCGTTATTGTTACGAAGCTAGCAGCCTGCCGACTTTGATACCTTCTGGGGCGGGTTGCTCGAGGAGGAAGCTGGACATCGTAAGAGCTGGACCTTATGATAAGGTATTGAAAACGAGCTAAGTTGCTGCGTGTTTGCCCAGGTAGCCTAAGGATGTCTTTGGCAGCAACGGAAGGTGTGAGGAGACGCCGCCTATCGTTTCAGCAAAAGCTAATAGCACTAAAGCCTTTATGCTCGATAGCGCCCGAGAACAATGCCTGCCATTTCGCTGCTTTGTCGCAACCTTTCCCTGGATGAACGGCCGAAAGACGCGTAACTCTGTTCATTATCCGTGATCATTTTCTTGCGCAGCAGGATTTACACTGGTGCAGTTGGAGCTAAGACCTTGTTCATTAGCAGGGGCAAGAGGGGGAGTAACCTGGCAGCGAGCTCGGTTGCGTCCTTGGCGTTTCGGGGCCGGCGCCAAGATTAGCTTGACCTCATGCACAATTAAATAACCAAGTGCCTCCAGGCGCTTAGGTACGCGTGGGGGGCTGCTTCCCCGCTGCCCAAATCACATTTCTGCCGAGTCGGTATGATGTGCCAAACATAAGGAAGCGAGCCTCCAGTTTTAACACAAGCCATCTGCCTTTACGTTCTGACTTTCCATGGTTTGCAGGGCACAGTATCGGTTCATCCCAGCAGTATGCTGTCTCAACAAGTCAATAATCGGATTGAACGGTCACCAGGTTTCCGCTGTGTTCTAGAATCGGCGTCATCGGGCTGCAGCGGCGGTGCAAGCCCGAACTTGGACGCGGGCCGGGACGCTACCGGGGCAAAACGCTCAGTCCCTTCTCCGCCAGCCCTGCCTTCCAGCTCACGTGCGGGAGGTCAACAAATGCAGCAGTTTGTGGCTTATGGGATGCGGCGGGGTGCTTTAAATGACAACCAACAGCTGTTACTGGCCGCGCAACATCACCACCAGCCGCAGCAACTTCAATTCCTGCAGCAGCAGGCCAACACACAGCGTGTCAATGAAGGACGTATGGATGGCGCTTTGGCAACCGGATCTGCAATGGGAGCACCGAGTTTGACGGCTTGCAAGCAAAGCTCCTCCAGCTCGTTCAACGGCAGTCCGATTACGAACGCTGCCATGGAGACGCGCGAGGATCCCGCGCTTCCGTCCACGCGCGCATCCGACACGGGTATGCCAGCCAACAGGGTGCTTCGCTTCATGCATCACCAGGGTGGCCAGTACCAGCACCAGGAGCGTTGTCCGCAGCAGCAGCTGGGGCCCCAGGCTCCAGGGTATCCTCACCAACCTGATGAGGAGGTTGCCAGCCTGCAACATGGTGGCCGCGTGCTGGCCCCTTTGCGCTTGGACAGCAGCGGTGAGGCGGGCGCGGCAACCGGGGCCGAGGGGCCCGGTGTCTTGGGGCCCGACACAGCATGTCAACCAGCCGCCACCAGCAACGCGGCGGTCTCGGTCGGACAAGATGTGCACCTGTGCCGGCCGAGCGCCAGCAGCCTTGGGCGCATGAATGGTCTAGGAGCAGCGTCCGCGGCTGTGGCAGTGAACGGCGGTGGGCTGCCGGGCAGGCCACCATCGTTTGGCAGTCACGATCCGACAGCGCTTGCGAGCGGCCCTCCTTCAGCGCAAAACGCACCGCAACGCGCCCTGCTGCAGCAACTGGAACAGCATCAACAGCTGCAGCAACTGGAACAGCATCAACAACTGCAGCAACATTTCGCTATCGCCGGTGCCGCAATGTCTGGCGGAGTGACGACACGCTGTAGTCCAGGCGGTGTTGCCGACGGTGCGTTCGGCGGCGGCGGTGGAGGCAGTCTAACCAAGCCCACCCCCGTCGGAGCTGCAGTATCCGCCTCCCAGGCCCAGCAGCTGCGGCAGCTGCGGCAGCTGCACCTACAGCAGCAGCAGCAACAACAACAAATGCAAATGCGGCAGAAGCTTCATCTCCGGCAGCAGCAGCAGCAGGCGGACCCGCAGGCGGCTGCCACGCAGCAGCAACAGCAGCAGCAGCGTCTGGCGATGGCCAACGCCTCCACATCGACATCTTCGCTGCTGGGCACTGCTACAGAAGGCCTAGGTGCTGCAGGGCTGGAGGCGCAGGTTCGCGCAAGGCTGGGACTGCCGCCGAAGCGAAGTGGACACACAGCACCTGGGGGCTTAGGAGCTGCGTTTGGCGGGTCGGGCAGCGGTAGCCCGAGTGTTGTCTCCGCGGGCCCGGTGCCCAGTTCCATGTCAGATATCCGGTTGGCGGCTCACGAGCAGCAGCAGCAGCAGCAGCCTGGCTTGGGCCAGAGCGTGAGGATGCGTATTATGGCTGCTGCTGCTGCGGTTGCAGCGCAGCAATCCAGCCAGACGTCCTCGCCAAACGTATCGTGCAGTGCCTCGCAGACAACGGTTTCTGCGCCGCCTCAGCCGCCGCCGGCGCTGCCTACCCGTGGCTCTGCGCCCAAGGAGGTCACGTCGGGAGGCTTTGGACAAGGCCTGAGAGGCGCAGGCGGCGGGGATGTACCGTCCACCTCGGACTTGTTGCTGGGTTCGAGCCCCGCGATCCTCAATGCCCAGCAACAGCAGCAGAAGCTGCAGCAACGGCGCCAGCATGAGCTGCTGCAGCAGCAGCAGCGGCTGAAGATGCGGCAGGCTTTGCTGCGAGGCACACCGCTGAGTATGCTGACCCAGCCAGGTGGGCCCTTCGCCGCCGCAGCGGCTGCAGCGGCGTCGTTGGGTACCGGCAGTGGCGGCGGCAGCACCCCGGCTGCATCGCCGCCGCTAGAACGGTCGATTAGCGCTCCGCAGGCAGCTCTGGAGACCCAGATCGCGGCTTCGAGGCTGCGGAAGCTGGAACAGATGGGCATCTCACCATCTCAGGCCGTTCTGGCTGTTGCGTCGGGGAGCCGGCTTTCCGGAATGCATCAGCCGCAGCTGTCTTGCCGCACCACCCTTGGCTACGGGTCCGTTGGCGGTGGCGGCAGCAACTCAGCTAGCGAGACGGCATCCCCGTTGAGTGGCCGCTCCTCCAAGCGTAGCGCCGCGGAGCGGTGTTGGGAGGAGCAGCAACAGCAGTTCCAGCAACAGCAGCTGCAGCAGCAACAGCTCCAACAGCAACAGCTGCAGCAACAACTGCAACAACAGCAGCAGCAGCAATATCTGCAGCAGCAGCAGCAGCAATATCTGCAGCAACAGCAACAGCAACAACTGCAGATACAGGCCTTGTCCAAGGGATTTTCTGGGGGACACGTTTCCACGGTCGGCAGGCACGCCGGGCCCGGACTGGGCATGGAGGGGCCTGCGGGGGGCGTCGGCAGCGATGCCGTGCAGGCCTTGAAGCGGAGCAAGGCGTATGGCGCGCATGAGCTCCTCACTCCTTCCGTCCGGGGCTTCATGGCGCAGGGGCCGCAACCCCGGTTCGATCCGGACGTGCTGCAGGCGCAACAGCAACACCATTCCCAAGCCGGGCTGCTAAGCCGCTCTTTGCCCAACGACATCCCCCCCAGTGCCATGCTACCGGCGCCCAGCAGCGGCGGCTCCACCGGCTTCGCCCCTTTTGGCGCCGGTGGCGTGCTGCCCGTAAATGGACCAGTACCCGGTAACATGGACCTGCCGATGCCTATGTCGATGCCGCATCACCCCAGTGACAGCTTCACGAGGGCACCCGGCATGGGAGGTTTTATCCCTCTGGATGGCCCAGGGCCCGGGCTGCTAGGGCCTGGGGCCGGCGGCAACGGCGGCAGCCATGGCATGGGTCCCATGGGTCCCATAGGCGGCATGGGTATGATGGCTCAGGGAATGGTGGCTGCATGCGCGATGGAAGGTCCGGACCTGGGGCCGCAGCTGGGCCATGCAGGCGTTGATATGGGCACCACGGGCGAGGGCCCCGGCCAGTCGGGCGGAAGCTGCGGGGGTGGCAGCGGAAGCGGAAGCATTCCGGGAGATGGGCTGGGTCCACGCTGCTCCGATGTGGCTATGGACCTCGCTGATCTGGGGCCGGAGCCGGACTTTTTGGCGGATACGGAGCTGCAGAGCTTTATCGCGGAACTGTGCGCGCCGGCACCGGGGCCGGGCGGCCAGCAAGACCCGTTGACGTCGCAGTCGGTCGGGAGCGCGGGCTTCAGGATGGGCGCAGAAGGGGCTGCGGACTTGGCGATGGTGGGTGTTGAGGGAGGGGCTGCGACGGAGGGGGCTGGGGCTGCGGGGTCTGGGGTTGGCGGTGCAGCGGCGGTGGCTCCGCCGCCGCCGGCGGGGAGTGGACGTCCTGCCGCCGGTGGCAGGGCTCAACCCCAGCTTGGTTTTGATGAGGAGCAGCGGGCGTTGCAGACAGAAGCGGAGGCGCTACTTAATTTTAGGTTTGACTGAGGCTCCGGCGCCCTTGAAGGTCTCCTGCCTGGCCTCGGGGGGATCGTGTTGGGGGTGATTTGGGTGGTTGGGCGATGGTTGGGAGTGATTGCGGGTTGGTTGGGAAGGGGGAGGGGGCCGCGTGCCACATCTCCACACGGCCCTGTTGAGCGCGCCGCTGCGCAAGAATGTGGCTCCTGCCGGGCCTCTTGGGGTTTCTTCCCTTCCATCTTTCCCTTTTCGACTTTGCGCTTCGACACTGCGCTTTGGAACACAGCGGGCCAGGCCTTCTGCGGTGCGTATGCATTCACCCCGCACCGAGTGGACGGGTGTGCACAAGACCACAACCCTACATGAGCTACAAGGGCAAGTGTACGCCCGGAAATGTCTTGGCGGGGGCCTGGGCTCGGCTCGGCTCGGCCTGGCTCGGCTCGGACTTGCTGCGAAGCAAGGCAAGATGCTTTTGACCTGACATGTTCGATGGCGAGCGACCACACCTAAACCCTCTTATCTTTGCATTTCACCGTGCATCATTTCCATCGCCAGAAGGTATGGGCGAGCCGCCGCATGGGAACACTTCCAAAAGCTTGTTCGTTCCTTGGGATGTCGCTATGTTTTGTGTAAGGCCTCTTTAAACACCTTCCTGTGTTTCCAGTGCTTTGGCTTTGTTGAACGGATAGAAACCCAAGGAGGGGACTTCACTCCGTCCTGATCTTTAATTATATGAACAAACGCACACACACACACACATATACAGACTCACATTTTTTAGCGGAGGTCCGTGTGGTGGCTGCCGGCTGTCTCTGTCTACGGTACGCGCTTTTTGCATCATGGAATTGGGATGGTGCTATACGGCTTGGAGGTGATCGCAAACATACTTCTCGCATTTACCTCCTTGATCCTTGGACTTCGTGAGGGATGAAGGACAAGGAAAGGGGCGGTCGCCCTTGTTTTCGAAGAGCGAGAGACATTCGAATGTACTCCTTTTGTCGTCCCGGTGAGCTCCTTTGATGGACGTTGTCGATGCGGGCAGGGTTGCGCTCGGGTTGAGCGATGTCATTATTATGGCTTGTTGCTGCGACACTGCTTTGTCCTTGTCCAACTCTCCTTGCTTGCTTCCAATGGAGGTCGAGCCGATGAAACCCACCAACTATGGGTGCGCGCACGTGTGCCCTATCCTTAAATTTGTAGAGAGGCAATGTATACGCGCGCGTGCAGATACGTGCGTGACTTTTTATGCTACTACTGCTGCTACTGCTACTGCTGTGGATGCCGAAGAAGTGTTATTTCAACTTGTCTAGTAGTCGGGGGCCATAATCCGGAGGGCTTGGGGCTAAGTCATATCGTCTCGTCTATTACCGCGAGGTTATTGAGAGGGGTTTTATCGCGCATTGCATCGCAAGGTCCTTGTGGTGGTTTGGCAGCGAGGGAGGGGGGAGAAGCAAGGAGGGGGTGTAGCTTGCATCTCTCTGGTGCATCTCTTGCGCGATTGCAAAGCTGTCGGTGAAGGACGACATCGGGCCGTAGAATGCACTCTCTCTATCTCGCGCGCGCAGCAGCAGCAGCAGCGTGCGTGTGTACGCGCACACACTCCACATACCTGCTTAGTGTTGCATGATGCGAATGAGCATGAGCAGCACGGGGGGGGGGGGCGGGGGGGTTGCTCCTGTTACTCCTTTCGCCGCAGAGCGGAAGAACGCACAGTGGGGGACAGCCAGGGTCCGGGACGGTCGTCTTCCCCGGTCTCGGCCAGCCACCGCGTCCGCCTGTGCGATTGGTTGATGTCGCTAAGTCGCTGGGCGGCGCATGCAGCACTTTACCTCAACTCCAGCCGCCAACGGTGCGGAGTTTGTTTGGGCGCAAGAGCGCCAGCAGCAGCTCAGTGGGAAGGCCGGGTGTTGTTTTGTCAGCGAGCGACTGCAAACGATGCTGCTGCTGCGGCGCTCTGGGCGGGCGCGGGATCCGCATACTATTATTATCCACGCAGGCGCGCGGCACGCTAAACTATCCTACATGATTTTTTCGGCGCGAGGTTTTTTTTACAAGTGGATGAGAGCCCGAATGGTGGTGAGGCTGTGTCGGTTGATTGCGCTCAGAGTGAATGCGATTTGCTCTAGTGTGCAGGTCTGCGGGGAAAGATCCTCGTGTCACCTAGGAAGACGCCGTCCAACACTTGATATGCCTTGTTGTCCCACATTGCATTTTGGTAGACGGCTTGGTAACGTGCTGTGAGTTTCCATGAGCTCATGGCTTTCCACGGGGGGATATATACGAATCGCAACACCACGCAGGCCACACACTTGCAGGTTGACGAGGAGGATTCAGGTTTGGAGGTTTGGGCGCTGTGTAATTTGTCGGAGTGGGAGTGAGGGCCTGTAATGTTTCGAATAGCGATTGACGGGCTGATGGCTAGTTGTCCCTTGTTTCTTGTGTACCTGCCTGAAAGGAGATGGGGCGGGAAAAGGAAAGGGAATCATCAAGTGCACGTGCTGTGGGGCCCGGCGGGTAAGGTAACGAACCGCATCCCTCCCCGCAACTGTGGCGCTTGGTTCTTTTGCTTCTCGGCGGCAAGCTATCATATATGGGTGCATCATGGCAAAAGGAGTTTTCGTCGCGTCGCGATGATTGTCCTTGGTTCTCCTGTGGCAGGGATGGTGAAGCGAGAGTTTTATTCATGTGCAGCCTCTCCTGGGCAGCTGATGAAAAAGGGCCGCGGGCTGGTAAGGGGAGAGACGCTTGTCGGCTGGGGCTGGCGGCTTGTGGGAATGGATGAGGGGCTGGGTGGGCGGCGAGTTGCGGCGGGGATGGGGTCGTGGGTTCCCTCGCGTGACGGGATATACTGTAGCACCTAAGGGGTGAGTGTGCACCTAAGGGGGCCCCTGTACAGCCGGGTGGTGGAAAGCCAGGTGGAGACGAAAAAGGAAAGAGCGCGGAAGGGGCAGTTACAGACCATCTGAGCTTTCGCAACGGGCAAGCTGGTATAGGCTGAGAGGCGGCGGGTGCTCGAGGTTCATACGGCAACTTCACGCATGCACGCACATACGAAGCCCTGCATCGTCGACTAAGCATGCAAGAAGCTGTGCACTAGTGGCCAGGCCGAGCGAGGCCCCACGTGCGCGCGCTGCGTATGTAATTATGTATATGGCTGTACGTATGTATATGTACGTATGTCCAACGAAAAGTTGTTTGTGCGGCTGCTTCTTTGTGACTGGCCGGCTGGCTCTCCCCATCTGTCGCCTCTCCCCACCCCCCCCGAGACCTCGTCTCAACGATACCCTGAACGGTAATCGACAGGTGCGCGTTAATTAGGGGTACTGACAAAAGGTCCCTGGTACATGACCTTGGAGGAAAAGCGCGGCGCGTCCCAGTTGTGAAAACGGGAGAGAAGGCTGCACCGCAGTCTCAGTAGCTCGTCGGCCCGTTTGCCGTTTGGTGGTTGCTTTAGTAGCCGTGTGATGATAACGATGACGATGGTGGTGATGTGACGATGATGATGATAGTGGGGATGGTTATGGTAGCAGCGGTGGTGATAAAGTTGCTGGCCTTATACTTCTGGTGCTTGAGTATGTTCGTACCATTGAAACCCGTACCATACAACCCGCACCGCTTGGGTGAGTCATTGGCTCTTTGAACGGAGGATTCACCGTTGGAGGCGGAACGAGACACGCTGTGCGGCCGGGGGAGCTCCTGTGCAGGTGTTTGCTGTCTATAACGGTAGCCGCATGTATGTACGTATGTATGTATGTCACTGAGCGAGCCCGGCTCTAGCTCGCGTCAAAACAGAGCGGGTGGGAACACCCTTACCATGCCTGGAACGGAAATCCGGCCGTGTGACATTACGTCTCTGTGTTTTTTCTCCTTAGACGTCCATCATCTTCAAATTTGGGTCGTAAACGCTTGGTGGTTGTTAGAACCGATTACACGTCATGTCGTAGTGTGTTGCTGCTGCCGCTGCAACCGCTTTGCTGTCGCTATGTGCACTTTCGGCGGACAAGGTGGTGCGCTCTTTCGGTTGGGTGTGGATGCACCGTCCGATGCCTCCGTGTGATGCTTGCACGCGGTGCCGTGATGCTGTCTTTTACGTCTTCTGCGATGCTGTGTCTGCGATGCTGTCCCGTGTTGTGCTATGTACTGCCAGTCGGGGGAAATGTCCCAGCTGCAGTTCTCTGTTCGGATGGCGATATACTGCTAGTTCGTTCGTTCGCTCGTTCGTTCGTCCTTTGACTTAATATTAGCTCTGTGGGTCATCGCCTTTTGCCTTTGTGACCTCGATCTCGTAAAATTGAAGTAGAAAAGCAAGCGATTGATCTGAGCGGCCCACCAGTCCCTCAGCCAAGCAGCTCTACCCTTCGCAGTTTAAAGCCCACATCTAATTTTGAGGCGAACATTCTTTCCACCTGTTGTTTCGTCTGCAGGGTTTTGTCATCTCTCTCATCGCAACAATGTCGATAATAACAATGGCCTCTGTGCGGAACCAAAGGAGTTTACGACGTGATTATAACAACTCAAGAGCACTCCTGTAAGGGCCGTGTTGCGTTTTGTCGCCCTGATGTTCCCCTATTGCTGCGCAACAGCAGCAACAGCAGGGCCACGGAGCGTAGCCAATCGCGTGGTTGACAACTTTCTGCTTTGGTTGACGAGTTTTGGGGTCGCGGTTAGATGCCACGGATGTTGAGGAGCCCAGATGGCCTGGGGTGGCTCATCAGTTGGGTGGAAGCCCTGGATCGCCGCATGAGTGTTGGGAGTTACGGTGGCGAATGCAGCTTCGTGGGGGGAGAACATATGTTGTGTCCTTTTCCTACTCTAGGGTTTGCGGACAGAGCGAGCGTTTGCGATTCAGCGCGCCTCCTTTTAGGGGCGGATGCGGAGGATGCGGAGGGGCGGATGCGTGACATAGCTCCCGGTGACTTCCGCATCCCATCACTTGCAACGAAGCCACGTCCCGTCCAATTTTTTTTCTCTAGCCTGTATAGCTTTTATCTCTTAACTGCTTTTGTCTAAATCCTTAAGGAACACCAGGAAAAGGGAAGAGCTACAGCAGTAGCAGCAGCAGCAGCAGTGGTAAGCACTGCTGATTCGAGGGAAGCCAAATTTGAAGGCCTCTCAATATGCTGTACATGCAGCAATTTGCGGAATATGCTGTACATGGCTTTCCTTGGCAGGGAACGAAACTGCTGGTAAACCTTGGAAGAGAGACGGCTTGGTGCAAATCCCTCCGTACACACATGTACTCTACCTACCCGTACTTCAATTCTCGGTCCATCGTTGAATCCTTCGCACATCTCAAGCAGTCATGCGGCCGTGGAGCGTCAATTTGGAAAAAGCCACTGCAAACAACATATAATCGCACCACACAACTCATTATCCTGACTGATTCCTGCCACGGTCCGTTTCGGCATTCTTTGGGAGTTCTAGCAACTCCTCCGGGCAGTTCCTGTCAGGAAACCGGTACCTACATGTTCTTGAGCAGGCGCTCGTAAAGCGCACCTACCACAATGCCGCAACACTAGCTTTTTATTACATGTATGAAGTTCAGCCCCCTTCCTGTCCTCCTCCCGTCGCGCTCGCGCTCGCGTTCGCTCCCCCTCGCGTTCCTGTTACACCTATATCGTTTTCCTCTGCTAAATCTCTCAGAAAGCTCCCTCGATCGCTCAATCGCTCTTTGTTCACCAGCGTGCGGACCTTTAGTCAGCTAAGCGCATTAGTCGGCTAAGCAGCGCATTTGCAGTACCGTGGAATGGCCTGCTGTGCGCGCTGGAAGTCATAGTAGGTAATGCCTGTTGGGGTGTGGGGGCCGGAGAGGGCTGGGGTGTCAGGCCGGGGAGGAGGCGGGCAGCAAGTTACGGAAAGGTCGGACCGCGGGCCTTTCCGGTAGTCGGGGGGGGGGCAGTAAGCGCGGGCCCCGCACAACGAAGAGCTTCAACAACGAAAACAAGCAGTACGGACCTCGAATTGGCCCCAACACAAACATAAGCGCAAATGCGAACGTGGAAGCGAGAGTCTCGTGGAGATAGGTACGACTATCGTACACTCACACACTCGTCTAGCGTGCAGTACATGGACGCTGTACATGCACGGTGACATGTGTCATGTGCGAATCGCGCGCCCATGCGCCTCGAAGCTCTCTTAACTAAGCTCACCCGTTTCTGGAGGTGTGTGGATGAAGATGACGCCGACTTGCTTAGCGTAGTCTTTATTCCAGCCCTGTGTGGGATATAGCGGTGGTAATTGATGTTGTTACAGGGTGGTACAGCTTCACCAGTGGCCTCCTTCACGAGGCAATAGTTGCCTAGGTCCTGCAATGAAGCCCACGGTACCTAAGAGACTCCCCCCGGGTTCACTCCCCCGGGCCGTCATGTCTCCGGCATCAGCTACATGGCCCTTCACGCCGTATACAGGCCGTATCGTGTCGTACAGAGCATGAAGCTGGCGTTATACTTGCACAGAAGCACAGAAAATCTTGGTGAGAAGGCGAGAACGCAAACCCACCTTGTCGTCGAAGAACATGACGCACTGTGGGCTCGTGCCGTAGTAGCGGATCAAGTTCGTGAGCGTAACCGACTTGTCGTCGTTATGCGTCTTGATGGTGATGGTGATGGTGATGGTGATGGTGATGGTGATGGTGATGGTGATGGTGATGGTGATGGTGATGGTGATGGTGATGGTGATGGTGATGGTGATGGTGATGGTGATGGTGATGGTGATGGTGATGGTGATGGTGATGGTGATGGTGATGGTGATGGTGATGGTGATGGTGATGGTGATGGTGATGGTGATGGTGATGGTGATGGTGATGGTGATGGTGATGGTGATGGTGATGGTGATGGTGATGGTGATGGTGATGGTGATGGTGATGGTGATGGTGTAGGAGATGACAGTTCGGTGGAGAGCCCGGGACGGGGTGGGGGGAAAGGGAAGTGTAAGTGCGCAAGGCGATGGCGGGAAGGGTTGCGGAGCAAGTAAAGAAAAACATAACGGAAAATAGCCAGGAGGTTATAGAATTTGCGGAAATGCATACTACTGCGGTGGTCCAAGAAGGACTGTGGAAATGTGAGAGCCGAGAGGGAATATTACATGCTGCAAAAAGCAAAATATGTGGCGCCTGACTGATTGTGGGAAGTGTACGGGGGAAAGTGTACACTGGCATGCAGGGGCCCCACCTACCTAGAGACCCATCTCCCACAACACGACAACAGCACGCCATTTACCAACAGCCAAATCCAGAAAGGCTGCGGGATCTGCGGATTGGATTACGTATTATTTTCTCTGTGTCTCTGTGTGTGTGTGTGTGTGTGTGTGTGTGTGTGTGTGTGTGTGTGTGTGTGTGTGTGTGGTGAGTGTTGTGTTCCAGGTCCTATCTTGTTTCGTCGTCCTCCGGGCTCCCGACACACACACACCGTTTGCGTCAAGTCCGACGGTTCCCAAACCCCCAAAACACACACATACGAACACGAACACGTACACACACGTGTGCCAAGAAAAGAACGACCTTTCTTTATAGTGAAGGTATAAGAAAACGAAACTTGACCCCGCCAGTTAGTTTGTTAACCAATCCGTTGGTTGGCTAGTTGAATGGTTGGTTTGTACGACAGGTCGGTAATATACACGCACCTGGAAGGCGGGCGAGTTGAAAAACTGGGGGGAGAACGTGACGGGGTCCAATCGCTGCCCTAGTACCTGCGATTATGATGAGGGCGTTTTCATCCGTATTTATGGTTACTGAGCCGCGAGAAGAGAAACAGTCGGGTGACGAGGATGTACCATCTTGAGTTGAGAAGTGAAAACGTGTGAGTTGAGAAGTGAAACATGTGATCAATGCCGGGGCGGAGGAGGGGGTGAAGGAAGTGCCTTAAGGGGGAGGGAAGGGAAGGAGGGGGAAGAGGAGGCAGAAAGCGAGCGAGGGACAAGCGCTTGAAATTTTGAAACTCTGCTCCCTACCTGAGCTCCTTCAGGTGTCCACATACGCACATACATACAGACAGGCAGACATATAGACAGACAGACAGACATATAGACAGACATATAGACAGACAGACATATAGACAGACATATAGACAGACAGACATATAGACAGACAGACATATAGACAGACAGACATATAGACAGACAGACATATAGACAGACAGACACAACAGACACACACACACACATTCAATATCGCATTTTCCCACCAGCTTCATGGTTGCGGGGCTGTCGTTGGCGCTGCATATCGCGATCTCCCAGCCGGCGTTCTGCGAGTGCGAGTGTGGCGTGTGGGGTTCGGGCGAGGGGGAAGGTGCGCGCGTGGGTGTGTGTACGGATAACGAGTGTACGGATAACGGAGTACCGCCGATGCGGCGTCGCCAGCGGCGGAAGCTCCCATGGCTCCGCAACTACAGCAAGGATCCACGGGCTCTATACGACATCATTGTTGTACGACATCGTTGTTGACATCGTTGTACATTCGGTACGACATCTGGATCCAAGGGGTTCTATAAGCCACAGGACCCCCGTGCAGCTTATCTCTTTGGAGCACAACACCGGGGCGCAAGAACCGGGGCCAGGATGGCACACAACAGCAGCAGCAGTAGCAGGGGAGGAGCAGCAGCAGCAGCAGTAGCAGCAGGGAGGAGCAAGCCTCCACTTTCGCTGCGCCACGGCGATGTTGCGATACCAACGGCAGCAGCAACAGTATAGGCAGCAGCTAAGGAGCAGAAGACAGCGATATGAGAACAACCAAACAGCAGCAGCGCCAATGGCATCATGGCGAAGGGGGACAAGGGAGGTAGAGACGCAACGGGCTGCGCGCAGTCACAGCGGCCATAGTTCCTGACGCGGCTATGTGCGGCCTCAGCAGCGACACCCCCCCAACCTCACAACACACCCACAGCCGTACCTTGGATGCCTGGATGACGCTCCTGGCCTCCGGGGCCGGCACGTTCTGGTCCTTCGCTTCAGGAGGAGCGGCCCGCAGCACACCATCTGCACATGCATGCGCCAAGAACATGCAAGCCATCATTACGTACGGCACAGAGAGAACTGTACGGCGCAACACTGGAAGGGTTGTAGAGTGGAAAGCGGGAGTCCGTGCCGCGGCGGCGTATGTGCGCGCGAATGTATGTGCGTACAAGTACGAGTACGAGTACGAGTACGAGTACGAGTACAAGTACAAGTACGGATTGCGGGCTGCTACCTCTGACCCGCACTGGCGTGCCCAGCAGGAGCCTCAGGTGCCGTGGGATCCGCAGTAGGGCCGTACAGGCCGGAGGAGGAAAGAGGAACAAATAGAAAAAAGATAGGAAAAAGGAGAGTCGTGCAGCGAAGCGACTTGCAAGACAAGCAACTCCTCACCGAAATCAAAGGCGGCCACACAGGGGGCGGTGGGCACGAACGCCGGCGGGGGCGGAAGCCAGTCAGTGGGGATTTCCGCGGGGCCCGGGGAGGGATCTGGTGCGGAGTTGGCTGCCGAAGGCGACCGAGGTGGAACCGTGGCCCAGTTGAAGAGGCTGCCCCAAAACTGGGCTTGTGACCCACGGGTCATGGCGAACCCGCAGACCAACGCCAGGACAGACGCGAGGCTGCGGCTCAACAGGCGGCATGAGCCGGACACTGCTAGGGCCATGGCTACCGTACCGTACCCGGCTGCTATCTGGCCCTTCCCTCTTCACTGGGAAATATTGGCGTCGGAATCTAGGTGGGAATCGGGGGGGAGATATATAGATAAATAGATAGATATATAGATGGAGAGTGTGAGTGGATTCTGGAAAGGGAGATAAGCTGCGAAATTGTGGGTGGGTGAGGTGGGAAGGAACTGTGCGCTTGTGTTGCTTTCCTTGTTCTCCGCTCCGCGCTTGTCGTCGATTGCGCCCCTTTCTGTTTTCCTGCCCCTTTACCTCGACGGCGCGCGCAACAAGCAGTCTACTCCCGGAGATGGAGAGGTGGCAAGGGGACGAGCACGGGGGGACAGCTTGGCTACAGTCGGCAGTAGCACACTGGCGTACTGATGGCGGCAGAGTAAAACCTCGGTCTTCTTTGCTTGCTGTAAGTCGCTAAGCGTTTCGGGGGTCAGAAGCACTTTGCCATTATGGGTTAAGTAAGAGCGCTTTGCTATTGTGAGAGGATGACGGGTGAGGCCAAGATCGTCCTCTTTTGAGCTGACCCGACAGAACTGACAGCTGTCATGAGCAGACGGGTGGTGCCATCCTATCTGACACTCGCAAAAACACACACTCACACACCCTACATCTCCATCACTGTCTCTGCGCTGCCAAATGCCAAGGCACTTTGGAGGAAAAGTGCTGGAGTGTTGGCGTTATGGCGTCGTGGCATGGCTGCTGAAAAGCAGGTTGACAGCGTCCGTGGCAAGTTTTTTGATTCCCGGGGTAACGAAGACACGATGGGTACAAGTTCGTTATAAAGGCACTGCCGAACAGTTGTGCAGGCAGGTGCAAACCTTGCCACGCTCTTTCTTGCTGCTACGCTTGACCGCTTGACTACGCAGTGACCATGCTCCCAGGGGACGCTATGAAACGCCCATTTTATCCATACTAGCGCAAGTGGACAGAAGTGGGACATGGGAGCCAATATAGACGCCGGCGGGTCGGCGTTGAGGGTCGGGTCGGGGTCGAGGTTCACAAAGGTTACTGCTGGGGTTACTGGCTGGCAGCAAGAATTTTGCAGTGGTCTGATATAACGGTTTTCGCTTCTAATCGTTTTACTGGTGCACTACATGTGGGCTCGTGCCTCATGCCGATGCATAACGCATAAATCCGTTGCCGCTATCAAACCTGTGTACTGGGAACTTTTCTCGGCCAAGCCAACAGCTCACCGTCCCCCGAGAGCCTTCCCTAAACTCGCCTCCATTTGCTAAAATGTGCGAGTGTTCATGTTGTGATGAATGTATATTACATTCATCCTGCATCTTGGTCAAAGGCTATGGCCGTAGAAAGGTCAACAGAGTACCCCTCGCGTTGACGCTTGTCGCCATCTGTGATGGGAATCCTGAACCATATATGACAATACGTTAATTATTAGAAGCGGACGGCATCAGTATACAGCTCGTTGTCATCCATGCGGTGCCACGGCCGCTGCTGTGCTGCTCTCGGGAAGAACATCTATGCCGCCTTCCGAGGTCGTAAACTATAGCTGAAAACGTCTTCTTCTTTTCTGCAATATGATGTAACTGTTGTGTCGTAAGGTTGCAAGAACGTGGACTTGGTGCCAATTTCTGAGCTCTGAACGGAGCCACGGCCGCTTGCCCTTATGATAACACAGACAGCTTGGCAGTAACTGTTAACTCGTAGTGCTATGCATGTCTTACGTCGGCGCAACCTTTAGCTTTGCTAGAGGTGATAGACTGCCGTGGGAGAGGCGGGCCACATCGCAACGTGGACAAACAGCCAATGTAACTGCGAAGTTAAGTCAGACTTTGATGCTATTGGCGAAGGGATTCTACAAGCAGAGAAGGCCGTCTCAGGTCTCACCGCCTGAAGTTGTATCACAACAACCATTGGAGCCGCTGCTATCCCCATGATTGGTGGATCTAAGAATGATGTAGCTGCTCGGGCCGGTTCAGAACCTGCGCCAGATGCAGACAAGCCGGTTGCAGGAGGCCCCGAGAGGAAGCCCCGAGTAACTGGAGACGCCAGCTCGCCTGGCACTTCTTCTCGCGGTGGACCGAAATTGGGATCGAGGTGTCCGGAGTGCTCAAGAGTCAACAGTGGCAAATGGTACCGTCATCGGACGCGCGAAGGGGAGTACACCTGCGACGGTTGCTATCGATTTTTTAGAACTAATAAGCACTACAAGTCTAAAACAACCGCCGGCGATGCAGCGGCAGCAGCGGGACGGGAGTCACCAAGTGGCACAGTAGCTGGGGCAGCTGCAGGGTCTGAGCCGGCAGCCAAGGGCTCCAAGCAGCCAGCAACGGCAGCAACGCCGGGCACCCAGCACCCAGCTGGGCCGCCGGGCGGGGACCAAGGAATCGCCAGCCAAAAAGCTGCCGGCGCCTCGACGGCCGCAGAAACGAGCGCCACGGCGGCCGCCGATAAGCCTTCTGCAGCTGGAGGGGCCGCCAAGCGGAAACAGCCGCCCGAGCAGAGCGCAGGACCGCGACAAAAGCGCGCCAAGCGTGATAACGACCCCAAAGACCAGGCAGTGGCAGCGGATGGCGCCAAGAAGCGCCCGGCGGAGGATGAAGCCAACAGGGGGCGTTCACAGCCGCCGGATGGCCAAGCTGCCGGTAGGCCATCACAGGGCCCCCGCAAGGTGCAAGGCGCAAAGCGGGCAGCACATCGCGACGCGGCGCCAAAGACGTCTCCAACATCTGATGCCGGCAGCAGTCCGGTTGAGGCACCCGAAGACGCTGCTGCTGCTGCTACTCCTACTGAGGGCGGCAGTAACGGTCGGGAGAAAGGCTCCGCAGAGCCCGACGCGGCTGCTGGGCCAGCTGCCAAAGCAGGGGGCGCATCAGCTGCTGCCGCCGCTGCGGTCGACGGAAACCCGGCGCGGCGGCGGGCCGCCGCGCTGGCTGCCTCTCGTGGCATTGCCGTGTGTTCCACACGGAGTAGCCTACGGCCTAAAGGTGGTGGCGGTGGCGAAGCTGGCGGCGGCTGTGAAGTACCAGCGGGGCAGGACGGCACGGCTGCCGCCGCCGAGGGGGAGGGTGCAAACACGCTCCAAGCTGAGGGCGACGGCGGGAGTGGGACCGACAAAGGTGGTAAAGCACAAGCCAATGGTGAAGGAGGTGGCGGGTCTGGCGGAGGCGAGGAGCGAGGCGCTGGTGGAGGAAGCGGCAAAGCACAAGGCGGCGGCGGCGGCGGTGGCAAAGGCGGATCTAGCGGGACCAAGGCGCCTGTAGGCTCTTTCGGTGGCGCTGCCGCGATGGCAGTGGCCCGCCGGCCCGTCTTCCTTCGCAACGCCGGCGAGCTCAAATGCGCACATTGTGGCTCCTGTCAGACACGTCGCTGGTGCAAGCATCGCCTGCTGAAGGACGGTCAGAGCATAACGTGCGAGCGCTGCGACGATTACTACAGGCGTCACGGTAAGTACTCGAAAAACGTGGCGAGGAAAGACGTACCAGATGCGCAACGGAAGGCCGCCGCCGCGGCAGCTGGGGTGGCCGGCGGCGCAGCTGCACAGGCAGAAGAAGAGGTGGCGGAGGCTGGCGTGTTGCTGCCGGCGGCTGGGAAGGGGACGGCGGCTGTTGGGCCCGCTGATGCAGGCGGTGATGGTGAGCTAGTTGCGAATGGAGAGGGAGAAGAGGCGTCCAAGCCAAGTGAACGGAAGGCAAAGAGGGAGCGGGAGGTTATGGAGAAGTTGGTGGATGGAGGAGCTGTCCAGGCAGAAGCCAAGGCAGCGGCGATGGAGGAGGAACCTGCAACGTTGGGAGCGGCGACGTCTCCAGCTGTAGAGGGAGGACTGTTAGCCGCCGAGGCGGCGCCCCAAAGAGTGGTGACTGAGGCGCCAGCTGCGGCAGCGGAGAGGAAGCGGGAGGAGAGCGATGCTGTTGAGGAGAAGGTGACAGCAACAGCAGCGGGCCCTATGGCGGCGGAACAGGTCCAGGAGGAGGAGAAAGAGGTTGCCGGAACCGCACCGGCATGGGCGGCAACAGCAGCCGCACAGCCGATGGACGTTAAGGAGAAGACTGAAGAGGGAGGGAAGGCAGAAGTGGAGGACGCGCCCGCAGCGGCAGCTGCAGCGGCAGAGGACGCGGAGAGGGCAGCGGCGGCGGCGGCATCACGGTCCGAGGCGGCGGATATGGACATGGAGGTAGCGGAAGGGGAGGAGAAGAAGGAGGGGAAGAAGGAAGAGGATGAGGAGGAGAGGGGGGCCACCCCAACAGCGGAGGATCATGCCACGGGCTCGGCAGATGCTGCGCCGGTGACAAGGGAGGAGGGGCCAGCGGAAGCGCTCGCCGCGGCTGCAGCGGTTGAGTCAGCTGAGCCCAACGGGCCAGATGATCGAGCAGCTACGGGACCGTTACCTGCACCAGAGGCACCAGAAGCCCAGACAATCAACGTCAGCGATAACGAGCCGTCAGCGGTGGAGGAGCCGCAGATGGTGTCAGAGGCGCTGCCTTTGGTAGAGGCCGCGCCGGCGGCGGCGGCGGTAGTACAGAAACCCGCGAATGAGCCCGCCAATGCGCCACAGCCTGAGCCCGCAGTCGCGGAGGGCGAGGCGCAGAAAGATGTCGCTGCAGAGGACCAAGCGCTTGCAGCATCTGCAGCATCTGTTGCTGATGCATATGTTGTTGATGTCGAGCAGCGGGCCAGCACGCCGCCGCCGGCAGCGCAAGGGGAAGGCACGGCGGCGCTGACTGAAGCGCCAACGGAGGCGGCGGAGGCGCCTGAATCGGCGGCGGAGGCGGATGCTGGCCAGCAGGTTAAAGAAATTGAGTTGGCGGCGGAGAATGGTCCAGATATGTCGGTTGCGCCGGTGGGAGGACGATCTGCGGCGGACGTGGGGGCCCCCACGAGGACGGGTAAGGAGGAAGGTGCGCAGCACGAGGAGGAGGATAAAGCGCCTGGCCACGAGAATGCAGCGGCGGAGGCGCAGTTGCAAGCAGCTGTTGCCATGGAGGTAGCGCAGGCCAGCGCCGCGGATGAGGCAACCGAAGTTAATGCCGCCATCGGAACCGCCGAGGCGGGTGCCGCCGATGCAGGGGCCGGGGCCGCCGCACCCGCTGACGGTGAGTCGGGGGCCGCGCAGGCACAGACTGTGGGCCTCGACGACCCCGCAGGTCCTGCAGAGCCACTGCACCCGGCTAACGGGCCACAGCCTGAGGGGATGACGTGCGGTGATGGAGACGCGGGGGAACCGCCGGTGGCTGTCGCAGAGGCGTCTGGGGGTGCGTGCGTGGAAGGTCACTTTGGGCTGGCGGTCCCGGTCCCGGCCCCGGTCGCTGCTGATGCTGATGCTGCCGACGGGCCCGCAGTCAGTGTTGCAGCCCCCGGCCCCGTATTTCCTCCTGATGCCGAAGCTGCCGCGGGTCCGGCGGAACCGGTGGAAGTCGCTGCCGTACGGCCCGCAGCTGTGGTAGCTGTTACCGGTGCTCCGCCCGACCCCGCGACCCCTCTTGTGCTGCCGCCGCCGCCCGCGGTCGCTCCCTGCGGCGCTGCGTCGGTCTCAGGTGTGCTGGACAGCGGAGCCGCTGAGGGTGTGCCGCCATGTGCTGACGCCGCCGGCAAACCGCCGCAGCTTGGGGTAAAGGGTGAGGAGGCGGGAGGCGAGGTGGAGCCGACCAACGCCGCCGCGGCGCGGCAGCAGCAGCAACAGCAGCAGCAGCAGCAGCAAGACGCGACGGCGGCTTCAGCGGCCGCTGCGACTTCTCCGAAGAACGTGCCTACGAAACGCGGTGACCGATCACGTCGACTGCCGCCTGCCAAGCCGTCGCAGCCGCAGTCAACACAGCTGGAGCAGCCGCCGCCGCCGCCGCAGCAGCAGCGGCAGCCTGTCCAAGAGGCCGTTAAGAAGCAGCAGGAGAAGGAGCAGCAGCCGCAGCAGCCCCGGAGCTGCTCCGCCTGTGGGTCGACCTACACGCAGGCAGGTTGGCGCCGTCACCAGGGCGGCGAGGTGGGCAAGGTGGTGTGCAAGCGCTGCTATGACTGGCACTACCGCCACGGCACATACGAGCGGGGGGTGCCGTCCCTGCGTTCGACCGCATCTGCTGCTGCTGCTGCTGCAGCTGGGGCAAGCTCCGGGCCAACGCCGATGCGGCGGCCGAGGAGGACGACCAGTAGTGCGGCCGCCGCCGAGTCGACGGCAGCGGCCGCCGCCGCCGCCGCTGCGGTTGTCGACGCTGGACAGCCGCCGCCGAGCAAGCGCCAGCGGGTGGCGGCGTCAGCACCTGGGGAGGAACAAGATGGAGGCAGTAGCAGTGCCGCCGCCGCTGCCGCTGCCGGTCTTACCGGGCGTTCCACGCAGTCTGTGGCAGCGGCGACGCCGATCCTGGCAAAGGAGTTGCAGCGCGGTGGCGATACTGGCTCGCCCTTCTCGGTAGTCCGCCGCTCTGGGCCCGTCCCGCTGGCTACGGCCGATGGTGACGCGGCAGGACCTCTGCCGGGGACGGACGGCGCCAACGGCAGCGCCTACCTGGCGGCCGGCAGCCAGCTGGGGCTTGCAGCGGACTCGCTAGCCGTACTGCAGTCTTATGTGCAGAAGTTCGGCGACGCGTTGGCGCGCGCGTGCAAGGTGCGTGTTGGCGGGTATGCACCTTGGGTCATCGGTGCCATGCTGTGTGTGTGTGGGGGGGGGGGCCGGCCTACCGTGTCGACACGCGATGTGTCTCGATATGTCAAAGTTGGGGTGTTGGAAGATGAGCGACACTCTTATACAAGTGAAATGGGAGAAGCAGTAATAGGGGCCGAGGGCTCCGAGGGCTCCGCTTCTTTGCTATTATTGATAAAATGTTATGATGTAGTAATGTCACTGAGTGGGGGGCTTCTGGGCCGATTTTTTTTACATTTGGATACCGATCTGGGATTGAACACCGTAGGGCACCGTGTATCATTACCACACTGTACTACGCCGTGTATTAACATGGGGGGTTTCCTCGGTCTACCGTCAGCTGGGATCTTGGATCCTGGACCCTGATTTTGACCGGCCTTGTATACCAGGGCCTAGTCTTTTAGGTCCTGAACCCCGGTAGTCCCCTCACGGATATGACCTCACGTGGGCGGCCTCGCGGCTTGCTCACCTTTGAAGTCCTCCCGCCCTTTCCAACGATAACACCATCATTTCCATCGTCATCGCCCTGCACACACCGGCCAATAATTATCAACGACACCACCACCAACACCACCACCAACACCACCACCAACACCACCAACACCAACACCCCACCAACACCAACACCAACACCCCACCAACACCAACACCAACACCCCACCAACACCAACACCAACACCCCACCAACACCAACACCAACACCCCACCAACACCAACACCAACACCCCACCAACACCAACACCAACACCCCACCAACACCAACACCAACACCCCACCAACACCAACAACAGGCGCTGGTGGAGCTCGAAGACCAGCACGGTATTCGCCTCCTGGACGTCCCGGCCCCAGCGCCGCCCGCGGCGGTCTCTGGCGTCATCGCCACAGCTGCTGCTGCTGCTGCTGGCAAGGACGGCAACCCTGTTACGCTGCCGCTGTCGCCGCCAGCTCGTTCCTCGCTGCGGGTCTTTTACGAACGGGTTTGCGGCAGCGACGTCAAGCTGCGGGTGGGTCCGCCGGGTACATCGGGGCGGGTGGCCGCTACCCCGACCCGCTCGCCTTTTTTTCCTGTGGTAAAAATATTCGACCTGCATTTGAAAAGGAGCACTTGGCTATATCCGGCCAGCTCTTTGGCAGAAAGGTCTGGGATGCTGGTGTTACCATATGCATCTAGTAGAGATGCATTGACTCTTTTTTTTAAGTACAAAACCTAGTAGTAGGGAACTGACCTTACCGCTAATAAAGGTTTTTTCCTCTGCAGCTGGCTGCCCGCATCCGCCTGATTGTCTGTCTGTTTGTCAGGCGATGCGAGTCTCGCCCTCCCTGCCCTGCCATTTTCCTGCCCTGGCCCCCCCCCCTCTCTCTCTTTGCTGCTGCTGGTCCGCACCGGCCCCGTCTTGCCTCGCTCACCACCGCGCGGCCCCACCTCCTCCATCTTCGTGTCGCGACGTTCGTTACTTTGCTTGTTGATTGTTGGCTTGAGAGCTTATTGCGTAATTTCTTACTTGCGTTACTGCTTGCGTTACTGCTTGATTGCGCTGCAGTCCCGGCACCTGGCGGACGCGGTGATACGGTGGCTTGAGGTAGGGGGGTGGGGGGTGGGGGAAAAGACGAACCACAGACGAGCGAAGTGTGTTGTTTTTTTGGTGGTGATGGTGGTGGTGGTGGTGGTGGTGGTGGGCTTGGGGGAGCTGGGTGAGGTCGGCTAGGGTTGCATGTCCGTCGCAGTGGTGCGGCGGCGCGCCGGCGTGTGGGCCCGGACTCCAGGAGCCCAGGGCCTAGCATGACGTCTCCCTTACGGGGTTTCCTTAGCGGAGGCAGCGCGGGTGCACAGAAGGGGGCCAGGTGCACAGAAGGGGGCAGTTGTAGATATTGGTCCTTGTTGGCGGGTGTGAGGTCGAGTGGTGGGTGACTGGGCGCTGCATAGTGTGCTTGGAGGGAGGTATGCCACCCTCTGTGTCTCTGTCTGTCTGTCTGTCTGTCTGTCTGTCTGTCTGTCTGTCTGTCAGGGAAGAATATGAAGAAGGAAGGCGGTAAGGTTGTGTGTGCTCGTGTGTGTTCGTGTTCGTGTGTGAGCCCAGGCCAGAGATTACAATCCGTCCCTTCCTGGTCGTGCTAGGTCGTGCCCCAGGATCTCCGGTCCTGTCCACCCCGCTTGGGCAACTTCCCTGGACCTCCACCTCATGCACGCTGCGCACCTTACCCTCCCCCTTTCGACGGCAGCAGTTAATCCTTGTTTCCGTGCACATCTTCCCCCCTTTCCCTAGCAGTTTGCAACTTCGGATGTCCTCGGCCCTAAGTCGATGCTCTTGGCTTCCTCTTGCACCACCATAATCACCACATGATACCCACCCCGCCCTATGCCCGCTGCTATTCCTACCTATCGGCACGCCACGATCATGGCAATTGACCGTCCTTGGGGGCCCCCATGTCTTCTTTGGACGCAACCCGCGCGTGTGCGGCGGAACTTGTAAGCTACCGCAATTATTGTACTACTTCTCACCCATTTCCTACCCGTTTTCACGAGACCCAATAAAATCCAATTCACCCCGGCTTCCCCCTCCACCATCCGTGCAGCTTAATGCATGGCGCTCGCCCCTACCGCAGCTGCTGGGTCCCACCGCCTTGGATACGCCAGGCCGAGGGCCGGGCCCTCCCTCAGCCCCGGCTCCGTCCCTGAGCAGTCGACCGCGTGAGGGGGGCCCCCGGGAGAGCAATAAGACCAATAAGCAGGTGCGGAGGAGGAGGAGGGTGAGAGGGCGGCACAGGGGGCCCCTGAGAGCGCTTTTTTCGAATGATGGTCTCCCCTGCCCATCCCCACGTAGCTTCTTTCTTCCCCCCCCCCTCCGTCTTGGCAAGTTCTCCTCGTTACAACCCGCTTGCTACCCGGCAGGGTGGGAGGTGGGCGACTCTGCGAGGAATTCAGTCTCTCGTTGCTTTCTTGCTCAGTAGCTACCTAGCGAACACTTTCTAGGGCAGGCACTTGGTTGGGGGTGCTGGTCAGGGAGACCCAGGAGGCTCGGGTGGTCGTCAGGCTGGCTGGCTGACTGGCTGTCTGACTGGCTGCCTGACTGGCTGACTGGGGGTGAGGAAGTGGGTGGCAGGGAACCCCAACCCCCACCCTGGCCCTCAGTGCTGGCATCGATCTTGGGCCTGTGCGTGTTTCTATGTTTGTATGTCTGTGCTCTCTGTTGGACAATATGTTCATTTGTGTTCACGTGCCAAGAGCGGAAGTGAGTAACTGAATTCTGGTTGCTTTGCTGGCAATTATGCTGGACTTGTTCTCCGGCCCCCTTGTTCCCTTGTTTCAGGTCGCTGCATCGGGCGGCGCCTCCAGGAGGGAACCACGCGGCGGTATCAACACCAACAAAAGCAGCTTCGCCGCCGACGGCAAGACTGTCTTGCCGCCCCAGCCGGCCCCACCATCATCATCCTCGGGTGAGCCGCGCCCCGCGGCCGTCGACCGCTTTCGCAAAGTGGCGGCAAGCCTCGCGCTCAACATGGCCCAGAATTTGCTGGGCCTCATACCGCCCGCACCACCACTGCCACCGCCTCATCAGCCACGTGGGGCTCAGGAGGCTTCGTTGGCTACGTCATTACCGCTTGGAGGTGCAGACATACCTACTGCCGTTGCTACGGCGACTGCGGTGGCTGCGGAGGTTGTTCGAACTGCGGCGGCGGCGGCGGCGGCCTTTCCTGATGGCGGCTCTGCAGCGGCAGCTGCCGCGGCGGCGATGCCGCACCTGGAAAGCCTAGCTGCGGCTGCGTTGCATCTGGCGCATCGAGTGGGGCTCGCGGCGCAGGGCCATCTGGTGCTGCGGCTGGCGGGGCCGGGAGACCCCATCTCGGGAGCTCCGGAACCAGGACACGGCCCGGGACAAGGCGCCACAGCAGCGGCGGCGGCAGCGCTCTCCGCCTCCTCCCCTCCTATTTGGCGGGATGGCTGCCCGGCCGTAACGCCCGTGGAGTGGGTACGCTGTGGGGGAGTGGCGACCGCGAGTTATGCAGGCGACGGCGACGGGGGTGGGGATGGGGATGGGGATGGGGATGCTCATGGTAGCGGCGCGCGACATCTGCGGCTTGCGCAACTGCTGCGGAGTCTATACGACGGCGGCGCGCAGCTCTGGCGGGATAGCGATGTGGCGCTCAGCTGGGCTGCTGAGCCGTCCACAGCCGTCCCCTTGGTGGGCTCCACCGCTGCTATGTCCACTGGCGGAAGCAGCAGCAGTGGTGTCGACGGCGGCGGCGGCACTGCGGCGGTTTTATGGGTGATATCACCAGGCATCGCCCGGAGAGAGCTCCGTACGCTGTCCGGAGTCGAGGCGGTTGCGCCGCCACCAGCCGGCGGCCCGATAACGTCTGTTGCCTCCGAGTGCTTTCAGCCGAGTGCTGCTCCCGAGCCACAGCCAAGCGCTGCCGACGCATCAATACCGCACCTGAACAGGACCGCCGGCACAGGCGCGGCGCCGCCGTCGCTAGCGCGTCCGCTGGGAGATGATTGCCAGTGTGATGACCGTGGCCCGTTGGAGGTTGCGGCTGCTGCGGAGGCGGCGGATGCCGTGTGCGCAGCTGTGGCAGTGGCACTTGCACGCGGCGACCACGAGGCGCTGTTGAGCGCGACGGAGGCGGCGGCAGCTGTCGTTTTGCAGCTGGTGCGGGTAATGTCCAAGGACAGTAGCGGGGGCGGCGTTGTTGACGGAGGTGGCCGGTGTCTGGGGTCATTCGAGCCGGAACCGCCGGCGGAGGCGGCGGTGTTGCTGTTGGATGCTCAATTACAGTTACCTCCAGACGACGCAACTTTGCCGGCAACGGCGACGGCGGAGGTGCTTGTAGATGGCGGCGGCGGGGAAGGAGGCGGCGGCGGCGGCGGCATGTTCGCCAGGTCGGCTCAGGACGGGCTGTCAGGCAGCCGCGGCGCGGCAGGCATGCACCCACATTTCCTTCAGTCGCAGCAGCAGCAGCAGCAGCAGCAGCAGCAATTGGCTACAGCGACTGTGGTGGAGGTACCGATCGTGCCGGCGCTGGTCGTTGGTTGCGAAGCGGGGCTCTGAACTCAGTCCTGTTGCGGGGTTTTCGACCTTACCAGCGGCCGTTCAGCGACTGGCCGTTTTGGTGGTGTTTGGGGGGTGATAGTGGCAGTGGGTTGTGTATGTCATGGTACGTGGTACGCTGCTGGAGGGCAGGGTTAGGTGAGGTAAGAGGTGGCCATGGCCATCCTTAACACAGACATCCACCTCCACCTCCACCACCCACCGTGTGATGGAGGTCCATGCCTGTTGGCTGCTGCGGCCCCTGTTTGTCGCGCTTCTGCGGTTCTTTTTCATCTTGATTGCTGTTTGGAGGGTACCCTGGAGTGCGTGGTGTCGGCCTTGGCTGTAACAGGAGCAACGTACATGGCACGCTTTGGTCTTCTGCTGCAGCTGCTGCTACTCTTTCTACTGCTGCTGCTGCTGCAGCGGCTGCTGCCTGCTACTCTTACTGCTACGGCTGCTGTTGCTGCTGCTGCTGCTGCATGAGTTTGGTTTTGGCTTGGTGTTCTTCGGTTTGGGTTGTATGGGTGCGGCCCAGTTTGGAGCCCTCTGTGCCGCTCAGCGTCGAGGACCGACAGGGCAGCGTGTGGAGAAGGCCTTCTGAGGTCCCCGGGGGGGGGGTCTCGCCAGTCCCCACAAAGGGGCGCGTCTCTGGTCTTTGTCGCGCTCTTTCCTCACTTTTTCTTGCCTGTTGTGTTCGTCCTCTGCTTGTTGTATAAGCAGTGCAGCTCCTCTTGTTTTTTTGTTGGCGCAATCGCGGGGACTCGGCAGTTGGTCTCAGTGTTGAACTGGATTCGGATTGGTTTGGGGAATATGTAGTTGGGAGGACGAGGACGAGGGCACGCGGCTGAGGGCGGTGGCGGTTTAGGAAATTGCGAATTATGCGCGCAACCCTTGCCCCAAACCGGCATGATAGCTGTTTTTTGTGTTAAGAAGGCAGCGGGTTTTGCTTCCTGTGATAGTAGTTGTAGCCGTAGTAGCAGCAATAGTAGCAATAGCATTAGCAAAAGGAACTCCTTTTGAGTCGCGGCGCTGACCTTTCAGTTCGTGTTTGTTTGTTTGTTTGCCAACACAAGAGGCAGCAGCAGCATCGCGGCGAGTGTCGGAAACAGTCGGAAAGGCATGTGTACATGTTGTGCTTGATTTTGGCGTGCTGCTGATATCAGCGTGTGTGTGTGCGTGTGCGTATTGGTGTACCTATCGGCGTGTGTGTGCATGTGATATACGAGATATCCGCCTGTAGATGGTATCTGCGTTACTACCAAACGACACATACGCATGCGCTGGTTGTCTGCGCGCATTTTTCGTACAGAAGTTAAAAGAGGCACAGGGGCCGTAAGAAGCCGTGTTGTATCTTACGTTGTGCTGGGCCAGCGTCGCGTGTGTCCGGATGTATGTTCACCACACGATGCACAAATGTTGCACGCCGTTTTCTTCCGCAGCGAAGAAGAGAGCTTTTCTTGGGGACTAAAGAGCACGAGCGAGAGGGGGGGACCCTCTTGCGCTTTGGTAATGTGACTGGAACGAGGAGGAAAATGAGTGTATGGCCCCAAAGGCATAAGCCGTGTAATTTTACATGGCAGACATGGACATGAAGCAAACGCGATGTAACGCGCCTTGGCTGGGCCTTGGGGCTCAGCGGATATGGGTCTTTTGAAGGGAGGGAGTTGGTGGACGGGGTGGGGCGCAGGTCTAGGTATTAGGTGCCAGTGTGCCAGATCAGCTGATGCCCTCAGGTCGGCCTCGTCACCCTCTCTAATTGGTTTGGGTGAGGCACTCGCCCTTGTTATCCAAATAACCGCAACTCGTGTTTGTTTCAGAGGTCCATTTCCCCCTTCGAACCACCATCACCACCGGCCCTTAGTTAGAAGACATCTAGTAAAAGGCAGTAACCCGGTGACTACCAATAGCATGAAAGCCCCCGGAGTCTCGAACCAACATGTGAACAGCGCGCCAACCTTCCCACGCCCCCAAACAAGCCCCCTCCCGCCAGAAAATATCTGAGCCAGGAATATCCCTGGAGAGCCACCCGCTTCTCCCCTTCTTCTTTCCCTCTCCCAACTTGCGTTGTATGAATGTACGTACGTATGTATGTACCCATGTACATGTCCTGTGAACCCCCTGCTGCACCTCCTCCACCGCCCGTTCTTTCCCGCCCATACTGCCAAAAGCCAGTCTAGGTCCCCCTCTCTCCATTATGCAATAACCGCTAGCACGAAGACACTTAGCCGCAATCTGGCATACACCAGGCCCTGCCTTGGACACCCACACCCACCCACCCGCAAATAGCCCTCCCGTAGGACATGCATGCGCACGCGAACGAGGCGGCTAGGGCCCGCTTACTGCGTATGGCTTTTGCCGAGGACTTGGGAAAACCATTTGGACATGCTCTTCCCCACGCCTCGGTGTTTTTTGTAACATTAAGCTCCCCGGACGCAGGTGCGCGCGCAGGATGATAGGCAAGACAGACAGACAAACAGACCGACAGACAGGAAAACAGGCTTACGAGCCCTCCCACAGAGTTGTATGAGATGCGCATGCAACGGCTGTGACTCCCCTAGGAGGTGGAATTGCACAGCTCCAAGCCGAAAGATGTCGGTAGACTCTTCCATCGCTCAGAATTTGGGCTTCAGATTCAAGCGTTTCGTAACGGCACCGTCCTTGTCGTACTGCCGTACAATCTCCTTGACGAAGGAGGGGATGTGCTGCTCCGCGCGCTTCGCACCCCAATTTCGGTGCACGTAGAGATAATTCCTGTGCGTGAATACATGTATGTATGTGTATAAACATGTATGTATGTATGTGCGTGGTGGGGAAAAGGATGAGAATGGATGTAAAAGAAAGATGGAAAGCAGTTGGTCGCATTACTGGCCACACACACCCGGAGGTAAACCCGTAATTAAACGATTCAGTGACATAACGATGCCAGCAACAACTTTGATACTCCGTGCCGCTGGACACATCGCAAGAGCCTCTGATCTGAGAGGTGTGATCAGAGGTGTGCGCCACCAGCAAAGCCTGCGATACGTCCGTTGCCTAACCAGGACCCACCGGATGTAGTGGTAATCGATCGAATATTTCCCGAACTCCAGCCCCTGTTGCCGAAGGGTAGGGTAAATGGTGGGTGGGCGGGGAGGGGGTTAGCAGGGACGGGGGGGGAGGGGGAGAGAGGGGAAAAGGGGAGAGGGTGTGGGTGGGTTTTGGGGGCGCAGCTGCAGCCAATAGCGGATGTGTGGGCCCTTTCCCTGGACCCGGGCGCAGAAAGGAATCCCGGAAGCAGTAAAGAATACCGCGCAGTAGCAGCAGCAGCAGCAGCAGCAGCAGCAGCGTGTTTCATAGTAATGAGTGTGCGTGTCTGTGCGTGTCTGTGTGTGTTGGGGGGGCTGGAACACGGTCGACGTGGTGCAAATATGATTTGTACGCGCATACGCCAAATATGATTGAACGCGATTTCTCCGTATATATGGCGATGGGGAGGTGGTTGCGGTGGTTGTGGTTGTGGTTGTGGCGGGTGCCTGCTTAGCCGTAATAGCAGTCTTAGTCAGACGTCCAACCAACCAACCAACTGTCCAACCAAACCGGACGCTCGTACCTTGGGCCCTATGAGGTTCAGCAGCCAGGCCAGCAGGTTCCCCAGCCAGCGCGGTGCCGGGTCTCGGAGCTCACCCAGCTTGGCCTGGTCGTCACTGGCCACCGTCTGACGGGGGTGTAGG